AGAGCAGTTACCAGAAGCACCTCACTCCCCAGTCCTGAACACAGCATTTCAGGGGAAATGTAACTGAGCAGTCAGAATGCCTGGCTGGGACACCTGAGCAGGATTTCACAGCAGCATAACTTCTACAGGCTCTTCTAGCTCTGTTAATGCATATTAGATAACATCTTTAAACAGGACAGAGAATTCCTGATCCTCTGAAGAGCCATTTTCTTTTCTCTCTGTTTCTTGCTCATGTATAAGTAGCCCTTGAGATACTCTTCAGAAAGGATAACTATGAGCAGAAGAAGAGTCCATTCTTACACTGTGTGCAATGGCTCTCTCTACCAAAGAATACCATGAAGCTCCAGCTGCATGAGCAATGAGACAGTTCTTTAGCTTGGGAAAGATTTGTCACAGCTCTCTGACGCTGCATGCTGACTTACACTGGTTTCATTTGGATGGAATCTCATCCTTGCTTCTTTCGGGTGAGTAGAAGCTTTCCACTGTAGCTACTGTAAGAAGGACTCTCCATAAGCTGTTACTACCAGAGCTTACAGAAACTCCACTATTTTTTCTTGCTGCTTGTCTTTACACCGTATGTTCCAGCCACACTGCCATTTCAGCCTTAGGAGCAGTAGATACGGAAGAAGATCATTATGGACTACCAATTCCAAGAACCGAGTTCTCCAGGACTTCTCAAGGTACTTTTGTTCAGATCATGCACTTACCCGATGTGATGCTGAGCCTTGTTCCTTTGCCAAACTTCAACTGGTCCTGAGCTCACACATCATTTAATTCCTTTGCAAAAACCTTTCCTCCTCTGCAATTCTACATAAACCAAGGAAACGGCAGATCTGTGATGATTTCTGGGCAGGAATGAACCAAGGTGATCCCATCCCAGGCTTACTCAACCCAGCAATGAAAATCTAGGCATATATTTGAAATCTCATTATAACATTCCCATTCTGCGAGCTACCTGGACAGGAAAATGCTTGCACCCTGACCACAAGCCTTCGTTCTTTGCTCTTCATGAAGATTTCAGATCTTTTATGCAGACTAAAATATGAGAGAACTTGCCTTTGCAGTCAAATAATTAACCATACTCCTAATGAATTGCTGTGATAGATATGAACATTTCAGCTGTTCATTGCATACAGTGTGGTCCCACATATATTTAAGTGGATTATTTGTTTAAATCAGATTTTTAGCAATACAGTGATGAAGATGTCATGAATGCAGCCCTACATAGTCCTTTTTGCACCTCATCAGGGCATAAATCACTCACTGCCTTTCAAATAGGATGCAGACCAATTCAAGTCTGTACCTGAATTAACCTACTCATTGTTACCTGAAACGTGACACATCCACTAACTGTGCAAACACAGCTGGGGAATTTCTCACTGAGGGAATAAATGACCTTTAAATCCCCAAAAGCCGAAGTTCATCACAGCATCATCAAGCTCAGGTTTTGGGATGTTCATTTCTGGCACTTACTTGGATGAACAGCCAGCCTTGTTCCCATTCCAAAAGTCACCTTTGTGTAGGCACCTACGAAGTTTCACTGTGATATAGAGCTTTACCAAAATGCTGGCAGGAGGTTTCCACTCAAAGGCAGTTTCTAGCTTTGATGTGTACAAAGGGATCTCTCCAGGTGGTTCTTCTCAAGCTTCCTAGGGCAAACATTCTCATGACAATTTGCTCCTATGAATCCCACTGCTGTGGGATCCTACCTCACCAGCCTAGCACAGATATATCGCAGAGGATAATGTAGTTGCATCTTCCTATGATAACAGCAACTGTAGAAGTCAGAAAAATTAACTGTAGCCATGAAGATGAATAAGAAATTCAAGATGTTTTCTTTGCACGTTATGAATTGTAACTATTCCTTATCCCATAGAGGCATTGGTAATTTTCATTTTAAAACAAGTCGACGATTACACACAGCAATTAAGTATTCCAAGCCGTGACAAAGCCATTGAAATGAACAGCATCTCAAAAAACAGCCATGCATTTGTCTGCTGAGAAAAGGTAACTGGCAGAAAAGTGGTAAAATAAATAATTCTGCAGTAACTCTCTTAAAATACCTGAATATGTGCAGATGTTCTTCAGAGGAGGAAGAACATTTATTCAAACACTTTTGCTTTTCTCATCAATGCAATCTTTCTTCCTGTGTCACATCCCATAGAGAGGAATGGGTAAGCAGGGTCAGCTATAAAAAAATCTGGGCATCCCTTCCAGAATATCTTAGCTAATCAGATGCACTCCAGCCAAGCAACCTCAAGCACATTTACTTGCATTTGGATACATGAGAGGTTTTCAGGCCTTTCATTTCTCTTCTATTGCACACACAGAGTGGACACCAAAGGATAAGCCATTTTGCCAGAGACTTATAGCAAGTGACCATCTCTGAGGCCAGACCTTTAACATCCACCCTCCCCATGACTGATTGCACCACTAAACTTGAGTATGTCTTGTTCAAGAGTATACCCCTTGGTATAGTCATTACTGTGACTTCAGTGGATCTAATATAGAGAAATATTCCAATGTATGGCACCCTGAACTACCAGTCTGATGAACTATTACATACACAGGTTTGTGGCAAAATTCCTGGCTAAAAGCAAAAAGGCTTACCTGTTTCCAGAAGCAGCCAGGTCCACAGCCAGAACTTGATGGCACTGGTGTGGCTTGGTCCTTCTCCAGTGAGAAACCCTTCCACAGAAGATCTCAGAGTTCAAGGGAGTAGAGAGCTTCATCAGAAGAACACAGCTTCTGACTGCCTCTCACCTGTAGCATTCCTGGATGCACCAACTTGCCCTGCAATTCCTTTATCACAGGACACCAGACTCTTTGGCACTTGTGTTCATCCATCTTCCCATCAGCCTCTTATTGCCTGAAGCCAGAAAGTTTGTGCTGCTGTTTCAGACTTCCTCCTTGTGTAGCAAGATGTCTATCCCTTGGGAGGACCCTAGTCTGCTTTAGACATAACAGCTTCTCAGAGCACAAACACATATCTTAATCCCAGCAAGACGTCTTTTGTTCAACCTAGGACCACCAAGTTTCCTGAATAATTTAGAGTTTAAGCTCCCTTAGAACCACTAATGAATTTCAAATGCAGTGCTGTCGATGTTCCCTGTATTCTACTCCATTTTTTCCTGTTTCAAATCACCTCCAACTGCCCAACTGTTTCAGCTTCCATCTTCGACTAAAGCTTCTTTGAATCTCAGTTCAACTATTCATCTTCTTTCACCTGTGCATTTCTGGCACTGGACTTTCTAAAGCCTTTATATCACATAGCAGGGGCTTTCATCTACACCTGCTGGCAAGGCAAGAAGCCAAACGAAGAGCAAAGACTTTTGATTTGTGGCATGTGCAGAGACAACGCCCAGTGCTGGGGGTAGGGGTTTGGTTGTGGTTTGGGTTGGGGTTTTGTTCGTTTGACCTCTTTACTGGATGGCGTCAAACCTAAAACGTTGTAAGCACAATAAACACTTGGACCAGCAGGGAGCAGGAGAGATCAAGGGAAGGCAGGAAGTTCACAGCAATGAGTCGGGTTTCACCAGGCACTTCTTAGTCTTTTGGGGGAACAGAACATAGAGGTCAAAAGATAGCGAGCAGAATGCAGGGATCGCTTTCTTATATTGTATTTTTAATGCTATATAAGATAACAGAAAGATTCAGTTGTACAAGCAGACGTTTAGCATTTACCATTCTCGTGTAGCTTGGTATTGTTTAGAGTAATAATAAGAAAATAATCAGTTTATCTTATTTGAAGTATCTGTAAAAGATTGGATGATGAGAAGGCGAAATAACGCCTGGTTTGCCATCTCAGTTGGCTTTCCAGTGGTCTTAAAAAACTGGCCATGGGAGTATCACTCAGGTCATGAATCCTCTAGTGATGGAGATGAAGGCTCTGGTGTCCTACACCAATGTGAATGAGTGTTTGAAACAATAGAGACCGATGTCTTTACCGGCCTGATAAATTTCTGTAGGAGTCAACATTATTCCTCCATAGCCACACATTTGGAGATCCCATTTTTTGCTTGTGATGTGTTGCAGGATTTTAGTTCTGCCAAAGCTGCAAGGCACAACCAAGGACTACTGAGGAAAATGGCATTCCTTGATTTGCAGAGACACAGAAATGGTACTGCCAGTGTGAGTCTTGCCTGGGAGACTGGGAAAGGTGTGGGGAATAAGATAAAAAGGTTCAGAGTGTCATCAGAAAATCAGGATAAAAATATTAGTGAAAGGCTCCCCCCGATATACATTATGTGGTAGAATGCACTAAATAAGCATTTTACTAGTTTGGGATTTCCATGCAAATTTCACCTATCTTCTGCATAGGGTGAAGGTCTTCCTGTAGGTATCTGAAGGGTCTGAGAGACTAACTTTACAAAACTTAACTAAACAGATCTTACTATGCACTCTGTAGAGGCTGTCTTGAAGCTAGCAGCAACTCAGTGCATGAAAAACCTTCTTCCCCCTTCAGGATGTGGTTAACTTGTTTTTCAAAACAAGAAGGAGTTAATCTTGCAGGGTGTAACTTAGTCATAAATGTTGGCAACAGCATCCTGCCTGCTGCCTGTGAGAGGAAGACGAGTTGAGGAGTGTGTGTGGTGGGGTCTTTTTGACTGCTAACCAGGCTGCTATGGAAACTATCGCTCCATCAAACTACCAGACGTTATTTCCTGTTGGCCTCTTCCTAGTATCAGTGAGTGGAAAAAAACACCGTGTTTTAGACATGCATCCCTTCTTGCTGTGATGCAAAATATCTTGCTGGGATCTCTTCAAAGTGATCTGAAAGGCCAGACCTCATTTGAATCCCGAAGTCTACAATTCATGGCCCTGCTGATGCTTTTTAATGTGCCAATCTCCACTTCATTGTACAAAGTCTACAAAATTCAATCAACAAGAAATCCAAGTTATCAAAACCATATTTCTAATCTTAGTGGTCATCAGGACAGTTGGATTTCAGTAATCATCATCCCAAATTCAGAAGAAAAAGCACAAAACAAACCACAACGTTTTGGCATAGTAAAGCTTTATTTTGGTCACTACCACAGGAACCTAAAATGCACGTGCCATACACTTTGCAGAAGAAATACAGGTTTAATAAAGAAATGCTTCTATGGTTGAACATTATCTGGTTGAAGTGAATCACTTCAGATCCAAGCCAGGTCTTCTCTTCTACACTAGAAAATTATTGTTATTAAAGCTATCTAAGAAACATTAAAGCTGCAAATAGCATCTATTGTGCCTGAACTCTCTCAACAGCAATACATCAGCTCACAGACAGTAACACAATATGCCTGTAAAAGGTGTTTTACAAGTCTATATATGTCTATAATGAGGACTGGATTTTTCAAAGCTATTGAAGTAGGTGAGATGCTTTGAATCAAAAGCTATTCAAAGGGGAGATCAAATTCTACTTAGCGAAAGAATGAGGAAAAATACGCTCTCCTCAGGCACAGAGAGAAAAGAAACAGCAAAGGTGGTTACAACTCTTAAAACTAATTCAGCTAGGCAGGATTCACCAGTATAAAATGTCTTAAGGGGAAGGTGCTGTATTGTGTTCTGGATGGTTATAGTCAGCAGATTTGACAGTGGCTGTTCATCCCATTGTGTTGCTGATACACTCTCCCTCCTGCTTGTTTTCAGGTTCCTGTTGCCTTGCTTCTTCACTGTCTGCAAGAGCAAAGTGTGGTTTAAACTACATTTAAGGCAATTGGACCTACATGCCACTGTTTCATAGCTGTCCGGATAAGACAGGTAGACTCACAAAACTTAAGCTGCAGCTATCTTTTGTGCCTCTTTGGATGCCTTAATTTAAAACTCCTGCCCCCTTCACTCTTTCCTCCACTTCCTCACACATTAGTGCTTTGGAAGCCTTGCTTTTGTCTCCTTTTTGGGGTTTCCTCCAGGCTTTGTGCTCTGCCACTTGAAACAGTCACTGAGATAACCCTGAGGAGCTTCTGGTAATACCCAACCTGCTCTCGCAAAGCAAGTTGGCTGCAGAGAAAATCTGGGGACCAGCCACCAAGGCCTGAGCTTTGGCTACAGAAAGGGGGTGTCTTCTTTGTGATTTGTGAGGGAGCTCTTTAGTTGTCGGGGGTGGTTGTTGGTCTGGGGAGGAGTTTTTTGTCATGGTTTAGGGGGGTTCCAGAAATCTACAGGAGTAACTTAAAGGAAACAGGACCAGATGGAAAGCTATCATTGCTTGTGGGGTTAGAGAGGTACACAAAGGCAAGTGGGCTTTCCTGGCATGTGCTTCCAGTATTTCTACTGGTCAAGCTGTGTGCTTCCTTACCTCAGAAAAGAAACAGCTTGATACTCATGAGTGTATTGAAGGCGATGCTTTTTGCCAGCAGGACTCTTATACCCAATACAGCCATAGAGAGCGTGTTCACTTTTTCCACTTTGGTACCTGCTTAGTGATAGAGAAAAGATGGGAGAGATCATGGTCTAGATTTGGATAGTGTGATATTGGCAGAAAATGGGGGGGGGGGAAACAAACAACAGGTAATAGTTTAAGGGAAAGAAACAGCTACAAAGGAAAAGATAGTAGAGAAACATGGCAACACCAAGGGAGGAGGATGTCTATCTAGGCTGGATTTTGCTTCCTGTTGCTTGTCTGTTACTAAACTAGCTACCTTGAAAAAGCAGGTTGTCTTTGATGAGTACGTTGTAGTCTGATTCCTCTCCCCCTGAGGAAATACATTTCCATGCATTTATTCCCCAACATAGTAATGGAATTCACAATCTATTTGGATAACTAACCTCGTGCAGAGGTGTCTGTGGTGTTGCAAACCTTCCCCATTTCTGGCTCTTCAGCGTTCTCTTCTGTAGCACAATAAAGAAAAGGAGTTATAAACATTATCTACATTTTTAAAAGGATTAAACAAGGCGTTCATATGACCCAATACAGCCAAAGCTGCACAAATGCACAGAATTGTACCTGCCAAGCTTGCGCTGGCTGTGATGGAGCTGCCGTTGAAATTTGCCGTGCAGTTCACCTCTGTGCCTTTTGTCACGCTCACCACCTTAACAGTATTGTACAACCCCTCTGATGTCAAAATGGGTGCACTCGGTTCATATGCGACTTCGTTAGAGGACATGTCCAAGATGATGTTCTTCGTATAGACATTCCTTGCCAAACAAGCTGCTTTCCCAGTGCTGTCATCTTTCAGTTTCTTTGATTTCATCAAAATGACTTGTGGGACAGAACTTTTTTGGATGTCTGTGAAAATAGACATTGTTTGGGCATGATTTGATGAAGATCTTTTAGAAATTTGGGTAATGGACTGTGAACATTTCTTTAAACCAAGAACATTTTGTTGCAGTCAATGGGCTATGTGCTAACCTTCGGCTGAGGGGAAGCAAACCTTTTCTTGTCAGCAGAGGAACCAGAGTCCTAAACTCTTTTGAAAAGGCATAAAACCTTTTACGTGAGAGACCAGAGTATCACATCAGCATTTCTGTAAGTGTCTGAAATGGCGTTTGCTCAGTCCTCAAATATTACCTTCAAATCAATGTAGACTGATGGCAAAATAACAGAATTTGGCAGTTTCCTCTGGTCTTACATTTACAACTGAAGATTCAGTGGCTGGAAAAACAGATCTTTCTTCAGAATGGTAACTTTGTATTCCATTGTCCCTTTGGAATTGGAAGTGGCCTTAAATTGTTCCAAAACAGACATTTATTCCCATGCAAGATATCCTACAGACCTGTACTAGTATTAGGCAGCACCTAAGCAAACCCCGTACCCTTCTGGAATGAGAGCAAGATGGTTTAGGCATGCAAAATTACATGGGACATTTTTGCACCCCTTTTAAGACCCCTGAAATCATCGTCACAAGTCTTAAGGTGTGCACCTGGGTATTTAGGAAAACAAAGATCAACCCAACAACCTTCCCTGCTGCCCCAGCATTCCTGCTCCCACAGGAAAGCGGGGGGTGACAGCCACCTTTTTTGTACATGATGAAATTCCAGATAAAGACAGGAGGAGCCGAGGCTTTTTAGAACCTCTACGTACCTCATCCACGTTTTCAAAGCATAGCCATTTTGGTAGCCAGTTTTCATTTATCCTAAGTGGCCTTGGGTATGCAGCAGTTGTGAAAACTGAATCCCAAGGATATTTAACCTCCTTCCTCCTCTGTCTCCATACCAGCGGAATTATTTCCCTGGTGTGGTGCCAGGGTCAAAAACTCACTTCTCATATCAGAGAGTTAAAGATCTGTCTCAAAACCTCTCTCCACTGCCACTGAACTCTGCATTCCTGCCCAAAATGAGGCAGTGAAAACCCACTGGAGGACAGGACACTTCACACCGGGCTCTCAGAGTGCTATCCAGCCTGGGATATGAGGATCATGGAGCAATAGTGATGTACAGAAGCAGCCCAGTTGTCCCTGTGAAGTCTTCCTAAGCAGATACAAGCTGAGGATTTAGCTTGAAGCCCCGGCCGGAGCGATTGCACTCTAGAGATTATTGCAGCAGAAAATTCTTACAGCGAACCCAAACCATCAGATTCTTTCCCCACCTTAATTTTAACATAGATTTTAGAAATAAAATCCTGTTACTTACTTGGTTCAACCGTGAGCGTGGTACCACTTCCAAACACGAGCTTATGTAAGCCCACACTGGTGATACGTCCGTCAATAACTACCTCTTCCCCGTAGCATTTGAAAGTGGTGTAAAAACAGAAGATAAAAAGCCAGCTATTTGTCCTACTTACCCACGTGTGCAACCCCAAAAGGGTATCCAGAGCCACATTTTCTTCCAAACACGGAAAGGGAAAAACAATCATTGAATAGTTCAGTGATTTCAAAAAGCTTGACTGAGCAAAACGTTCCCAAGTTCTTCCTTCTCTTTTCGAAACCCCGTGAGCTCTGTATTCCCAAGAGAAATAGAAATATTGAAATAATGTTATGTATGTCTCCTGAACGATTTCAGTCACCCATGTCCTTTCTTCTCCTAGATATATTGCCTTTTTTCCTTCTCTGGGTACTTGTACAGAGCCCTGTGTTGTTTATACCACCGTGGTACTCCACGTCCCAGACACAGTGATACGTATCATAACAAAAACTACCTCTTCCTTCTTTTTCACTGCGCAGATTACAGAGGCAGTCATATGACTTCTCTAGTGGTTTCTGAGCCATATGAAGGAACATGAGATGGCTTTCAAAGAATGGTTGAAAATAGTACCCAAAAGGTTGAATTATAAGTGAAAACATGGGGATTACGTGAGGCATCTGGAAAGCCTCATGGAGTTAAGCTGGACAGAAAGCAGGAAAGAAAAATCAGTACTTTTAGTGCTATCCCAAAGCATTTATGAAGCTGCTTCTGGGCTGCAGGAAGCTGTCCACTTTTTCACCTTGCGTTTGGTTTCAGTGCTCAGGAGCATGAGAGATGTACCTTATCTGGTCTCTTTGAGTTGGTGTGTGGTGGTGATTTGGTGCCTTTGTGTCTTTGTGCTGTTTTAACCACGATGAGAACGTAGGCAAAATGATTGCTCTTTGTTAAGTAAAAGCACTGCACTCCTGGAAGTGGCTATTAAAGAGTAAAGGAATTGTTGCAGGTTGATCAAATCCTCCGTTGTTCGACACTGTACGGCACCGTGTTTCCACCTTCAGGAGAAGCGAGTGAGACAGTTTTGTGTGGTGGCTCAGGCTTTTTCAATCACTGTGGTACGTAGTACACACCATGGTAGCCAGTTTTACAAAAACATTTGGTTTTTCTCAGTGGCAGGTGGTGTCTTCTCTTTCCTGTCCTTTGAAGAGCTGGATTTTACTTTCCATCTATGCTGCTCTACTTCTGAACTCTCCAGCACTGATGCAGAGAGGTTGCTATACACTAAAAATAACATTATCAGCATCGCTTTTTCTGGCAGATAGGGTAGTGTTAATCTCTCACTAAAATATTGCCCATACTGGTCAAAAAGAAATAGTGTTCCCATTGAGTTGTTAGAGCTGCTCGCACTTAAAGGTTTGTCTTCTAAGAAACATCAAGAGAGTTAGGGTGAACTATTTTTCTGCCAGTCATTAACTTTCAGTTTAGTTTCATTCCACACTTTCTAACTCTTCCTGGACATTCAACTATTTATCAAGGCCGATTTCATGCTGAATAAAAGTCAGTACATGTTTATGAATGGCTCAGAAGCGATTCTGGTTTAGCTGATGGTGGTTTAAGAGAATCTGTCTTGCTGTGTTACAGTTCCTTATTTACTCAGGAATTTGATTTTTAATATTTCTTGAGTGCCCTTTTTATAAGGGTCTTGGGAGGTTTTTCATGGTTATGTGCACCACTTTTTCTCAGTTTCTTTGATCCTGTGAACTAGATTATTTGAGTTGGCTTGGGACTTCTGATTCATCTATATGTGCCTTTAACTGATTTTGAAGGTGGGGAACATTCAGTTGATTAACTAAAGTTGTTTTTTTAACTGTTTTTTATCTTACTTTAATGACTTTGATTAATGGCTACCTGGAATTGTGGAGGAGTTTCTGAACCCTCAAATCCAGTTCCAAGACACAAAAGGAAATAGCATTAACTCATCCTGCACACAAATCTGTGTGCCTCCATGTCGCATTACTCAGTATTTTTATTTGCATTACTGTTTTTACCAAATACAAAGGTATATTTCTCATTTTTAATCACTGTTTTTATTCCTGCTGCTGTATTTTCCAGTGTTAACACAGACATGTTCATCTGCTGTTCCCTTTATTGTATCAAATTATTTTCTCCTCCTTATTGACTCGCTCTTCCAAGAAACTTGCAGCTGGCTGATGTGATACTTCCAGTCTCTTGAGCTGTTGGCAGGACAAAAAGAAGCTCTAAATACCTCCTGCAAAAGACCTGGGTACTTCTCCCACACCCTTTCCAGTGAGACTGCATCCTCCTTGTCACTGAGATCTCAGATGCAGTTAAACAGCCTTTTTTCATTCCGGTGGCCACAGAAACACACCTGCCTTCACAGCCTCGCACAAACCACACACTTGGATTTGGTTGGTTTAAAAGTTGAGCTCTGCCTTTGGTTTTTCTTTCTCTGACCTGGTCCACCCCCCAAAAAAAGAATTGCAGAAGGTGCTCCAATACGGCCAGTGATGAATTAGAACATTTGGGCTATCAGTGTTCCACAAGATGATACTGAACATAGAATCATAGAATAGTTAGGGCTGGAAAGGACCTTAAGATCATTCAGTTCCAAGCCCCTGCCATGGGCAGGGACACCTCACACTAAACCATCCCACCCAAGGATTTATCCAACCTGGCCTTGAACACTGCCAGGGATGGAGCATTCACAACCTCCCTGGGCAGCCCATTCCAGTGCCTCACCACCCTAACAGTAAAGAATTGTGTCCTTCAGTTCTGCTTCAGAGGAAAAAGTCTCCCTTTCTTCTAGAGAAGTGTCCTGTCATAGTGGGAACTGGTGGAAACAGCCAAACTTGTTTCCAAAGGTGAAGAGGTTTCAGACTGTGAGAGGCCTGAGGTTTGGCTTGAAGCATGGGAAGAAAGGTAGCAGAAGCTTAACCCCTATCCTATACAGCTCCAAGGCCCAATCTGGGACCCTGACAGCAGGTATGTGTTAAAGCCCAGGTGGATTTCGTGTCTCTGTGTGAACGGCACAGAAGTAGCGGGCAGAGTCCTGAGGCTGCAAGGCACGCAGGGACAGAGATGACTTGGATTGCGAATTGTCCCAGGATGTTGTGGCTCGACCTTCCACCGCTGCTGCGTACTCTGCAGCACCCAATGACCACGAAAGGGACACCCACTCGAGCCTGCCTCCGGGCGCCTGACGGTACCACCGAAAGGGGTAATTCTCGAAGTTGAGGCCGTATCCGCGGCAGGAGAGGAGCACGGAGTCCCCGGGCGCTCGCAGCCCTCCGCCGGTCTCCTCCAGCCTGAAGCGCGCCCACATCCCGGTGGATGGAGAGCGCAGGCAGCAGAGCAGGGGGCAACCCCGACCGGAAGCCGTTCGCCCGCTCCCCCCGGCGCCCCACTCCCCGGCACAGCGACCGCCGCCACCCCACTGTCCCCCGGCAAAGCCCCGCCACCACAGCAGTGCCCGCCTGCCCTTCTCGGAGCTGAGCCGCGCCTGATGCCGACACCGGGGCCACGGCACGAAACCTTCCCTCTGCCTTCGGTCTTCCTTCCCCTTCTCTTCCCACCTCTTCCCTTCCCTCTGCTTTTCCTCCGCCAGTCCTGTCCCTCTCCTCTTCCCCAGCCCCGGGCTCGCTGCCCTCCCCGCCGGCCCTCACCTGCCGACCCCAAGGCCAACGCCAAGGCCAGCAGCCACGGGCCCAGCACGGGGACCATCACGGGCGAGCCGGAGAGGAGCCGAGCGGAGTCGGGCTCTGGACCTCTCCTGCCCGCTCCGCCTCCTCGGCCCCTCACCGGGCAGCGCCGCCGCCTCTGCCCGCCCCCAACAGACCCGCCCCGGCCCGGGTGACAGCACAGGGTGTGAGACATGGCCAGAGCAGGTCCTGCTCACCTCTCCCCAGCTCCTCTCTGCCCACACATCCGCTCTGCTCAGGTTTCACACATCTCTGGGCCGCTGACAGCACCCAGACACAATGAGACTCCCCCCGGCTCTGATCCCAGGCACAGCCTGCTCACTGACTTGCCACGGAGACGGGCTGTGACCCCTGCGAACAGGCAGGAGGGGACAGCTGAAGAGGAGGAAGCTGATGTTGTTCAGACGCGCCCCAAGTATCTCCCACTGTGGTCCCTGCAGGGAGCAGTAATAGAGCGCGCTGTCCTCCAGCTCCAGCCCAGAGATGAAGAGTGTCCCAGAGCTGTCATCAGCCTGGCAGGAAAACCTCTTGCGAAAAAAAGGGGCTGTGTGGCTATAGGAGCCTCCCCGGCCTTTACTCTGCAGCAAGTACTGCAGGGGTCCACCCGGACGTTGCCGATACCAGGCCACGTAAACATAAGAGGCATTGGAGCTGTAAGTACATCTTAAGGTCCCGGTATTCCCTGCCTGCCACCGCCCTGCAGACACTGTCGCTTGGATCTCATCGCTCTGAAATGCAACTGAAAAAAAAACAAAGCAGGGGTATTCAGTTAGTGCTTTGCTCTCACTGACACAAGAAAAAGGCCCACAAAAGGGTCAACTGAAGGGGGCAATCGTTGCCAGACAACGAAGTTGCCGAAGTCCAAGAGCTTTGAGTACCCCAGAGAAGAAGGGGGCCAAGGGAAGAAGGAAAGGCACAGAGACTGGCTGGGTGACAAGGAATATTCTGAAACCCTCCACAGGATTCACTGCATCTGGGACTCAGGAGATGGGAAATGGCAGTGCTGGAAAAGGAGCTCTTGCTGGAAAGCCACGACCACCATGATGTGCACAGATGGCTCTCCCCTGCACCTCTCTCCCTGGAGCAGGCCTGTGATGCCACAGCCCACGACTCCACTCAGCTTGTGCACCCTGGAGGGGCCCCAGCAGCTTTCTGTTAAAGCTCAGCTTGATTTATTATCTCCGTGTAAACGGCACAGAAGTAGCGAGCAGAGTCCTGAGGCTGCAGGGCGTGCAGGGACAGAGATGATTCAAGCTCTGAACTGTCCCGGGAGACGTTAGCTCGACTCTCCACGGACTGCGCAAATTTACTGACTGAAGAATCAAAGCTGGTGATGGACACCCACTCGATTCTGCCTCCGGGCGCCCGACGGTACCACTGAATTTCGTAATCCTCGAAGGTGAAGCCAATTGCCCGACAGGAGAGGAGCACGGAGTCCCCGGGCGCTCGCAGCCCTCCGCCGGTCTCTTCCAGCCTGAGCTGCGCCCACAGCCCTGCGGATGCAGAGCGCAGGCAGCCGGGCAGGGCGCAACCACGACCCGAGGCGTTCACCCGCCGGGCCGGCGCCCCCACCCCGACACAGCGACCGCCGCCACCCTCCTCTGTCCCGGCAAAGCCCCGAGCCCAGGGCAATGCCCCGCCTGCCCTCCTCGGGGCTGAGCCGCGCCTGATGCCGACACAGGGGCCGCGACTGCGGGACGAAACCTTCCCTCTGCCTTCCCTTCCCTGCTCTTCCCTCAGTTCCCTTCCCTTCTCTCTGCTTTCCCTTCTCCAATCTTGCCCGTCCCCGTTCTTTCCCTGTCCCTCTTCCTTCCCCAGCCCCGCGCCCGCTGCCCTCCCCGACCGGCGCTCACCTGCCGACCCCAAGGCCAAGGCCAGGGCCAGCCGCCACAGCCCCAGCCCGGGCACCATCATGCGGGAGCCGGAGAGGAGCCGAGCGGAGACGCGCTAGAGCCCGCTCCTGCCGGCCAAGCAGCCTCGGCCCCTCACCGGGGCAGCGCCCACGCCTCTACCCGCCTCCAACAGACCCGCCCCGGACCGGCCCCCCGGTGCCGCGGCCGGAGAAGTGAGGGGGATATTGCGGGAAGGGTGGCGGTGCCCAGGAGGAGCGCTGCGTCCCGACGGAGGCTCCCGGCCCTCGACGTTTGGAGTTACGGTTTTTCTCTTCGCCTGTAGGCCCGAGGAAGGCCGGCTTTCCAGGGAATGGCCAAACAGCTGCCTGCGAATGGGAAGTAGGGAATGAATTCTTTACTTGGCTTGTGCGTGCTTTTTCTTAACCTGTTAAACCGTCTTGATCTAAACCTACGATTTTCTTTTACCCTTCCAGTTCTCTCCCCCATCCTGCTCGGGGCATTTAGTGAGCACCTCTATAGTGCTTATCTATCGGGGATCACCCACAATGGAAGGGGAAAACTGCTACCTGGGAACGATGCAAAGTACCAGACATGCTGGAGGCTGCTCAGCTGGAAAGGCTCTAAGGCTCCTAGTGGAGACCAAGTTGAACATGTCAGCAATGTGACCTTATGGCTTTATTGGGTTTACATGGCAAGGGTTGTGAAGCCAAGCAGGCGGCAAGTATCTGCGCAAGAACACGGCTGCCCATGTCAGACATGGGTGATCAGCCAGCTCAGATTGGTCCATTGCTGGCCAAAGTTAAGCCAACCAGCTAAGCTGGCAGTGCCTTTGTGGAAGCATATTTGCAACAGGTAAAAAGTACTGCACAGCATCTGTGAGGGAAAAAACAATCCAGACACCAAGGTCCGTAAACGAGGTTGAGAAGATGCTCCAGGTGACAGAGCACAGATTCTCCTGCAGCCTGTGAATGGTGAAACAGATTGTCCCGCTGCAGCCCATGGAGGACCCTGTGCGTGTAAGCTGGATATACCCTGAAAGAACCCGGTGCACTTAAAGAGCCCAGGGAAGAGCAGGCTTTCAGGAAGGATCTGTGGCCTTTGAGTGGTCCACACTGGAGCAGTCTGTTTCTGAACGACTGTATCCCATGGGGAGGTACCACAATGTTCATAAAGGACTGTATACTGTGGGAGGGAAGTGACAGCACCTCAATCCAAGAGAATTGCTCTAAGCCTCACACCCCCTCCTCGACTATGGCAACTCTCTAAAAATTGGGCTGGGCGCAGCAGGTTTATGTTAAAGCTCAGCTGCTTTTCCTGATTCCGTGTGTACAGCGCAAAAGTAGCGGGCAGAGTCCTGAGGCTGCAGGGCACGCAGGGACAGATATGCCTCAGACCGGGAATTGTCCCGGGAGACAGTGGCTCGACCTTCCACCGCTGCTGCGTATTCCGCGCTATCCGAGTAGCCTCTCGAGAAGGACACCCACTCGAGTCTGCCTCCGGGCGCCCGACGGTACCACAGAAGCTCATAACTTCCAAAGCGGAAGCCGTATCCGCGGCACGAGAGGAGCACGGAGTCCCCGGGCGCTCGCAGCCCTCCGCCGGCCTCCTCCAGCCTGAGCTGCGCCCACACCCCTGTGGACGGAGAGCGCAGGCAGCCGGGCAGAGCGCAGCCCCGACCCGAGGCGTTCACCCCGACACAGCGACCGCCGCCACCCTCCTCTCCCCGCAAAGCCCAGCGCCCGGGGCAGTGCCCGGGACTGAGTCGCCCCTGATGCCGACACAGGGGCCAACATCGCCGGATGCAACCTACCCTCTGCGTTCCCACTCCTTCTCGTCTTTTGTTCTCCTCTCCCTCTGCCTTCCCTTCCCACCTCTATTTTCCCTCTGCCTTCCTTTCTCCAAAGCTCTTTCCCCATCCCTTCCCTGTCCCTATTCCCCAGTCCTGGGCTCGCTGCCTTCCCCGCCCGGCGCTCACCTGCCAGCCCCAAGGCCAATGCCAGCAGCCACGGCCCTAGTTCGGGCACCATCACGCGGAGCCGAATTGGATCCGAGAGAAGCGGAGAGGGGCACGGGCCCGATCCTGCCCGCCCCGCTGCCTCGGCTCCTCGCTAGGCAGCGCTGATGACTCTGCCCGCCCCCAGCAGACCCGCCCCACGGTACCGCGGCCCCTTCGCGGCAGTTGAGGGGAGAGGAGAGAAGGGAGCTCCGGGAGGGTCGCACGTACAGGAGGAGCGCGGCGCCCCTGCAGACGGAGGCTCCCGGCCCTCGAGGTTTGGAGTTACCGCTTTTGTCCTCCCCGTAGGCGCGAGGAAGGCCGGCTTTCCTGGCAACGGCCAAACACCTGCCTGCGAATGGCAAGTAGGGAATCAATTCCTTTTCCTTCACCTATTAAACCCTCTTGATCTAAACCTACAGCTTTTCTTTCGCCCTTCCAGTTCTCTCCCCCGTCCTGTTGAGTGGGCATTGAGCGAGTGCCTCTATGGTGCTTAGCTGCCTGTCGGGGCTCACCCACAATGGGAGGGAAGGAACTGTGTCACGTGAAAGGGGGAGATTTTCTCAACCTCTACTGCTCGATCTATCAGTGCCCCAGGAAAGCAGAGACCCTTGTGCCCAACCAGGCTCAAAGCATCCTTAATAAAGTGTTCTGTTAACTCAGTCCTTCATGGGTGCCAGCAGTCTCCTGCAGCGGGTAACATCAGGCGGGCAGACCCACTGAGGTGTCCCCCCGATGCTGCCTGTGCGTTTCCCTGAACCAGCCAGTCGAATCGGCCTCCGATCTAGCAGGACTGATCCTTGAAGGGTCTCTGTAATGGGACACAGACTGGCTGGGGATATCTTGGCTTTCTTTGGGTGCTAATGGACATTATCAAACACCAGCGGCTGAGAAAATCACTCCCCCTTTCACGTGACAGCCCTGAAGCAGGTGGAAGAGACTAGAGATCCAGAGCCACAGAGCCCCATGACAGGAGCTTGGAACTATGGAGAGCCCATTTTGTAACAGGTTTATCCCGAAGGACTGCAGCCCTTGGGAAGAAACCGCCCGGGAGCATTTTCTGAAGGCCTGCTGACCACGGGAGGGAGGATGTAAGAATAGAGATGAAGTGTGATCAATTTACCCCCAACCAATCGTCCCTGTGCCACCTGGAGAGAGGATGTAAGGAGTGAAGCTAAAGGGGAAGAAGGGAGGATGCATGAGGACAAGGTGGATTTAGTTTTCGCTCTGCTTTATTCTGCTGCTCACATTTCTGCTTTTATTTTGGCATGTTTCCTTCATTATGCAAGAAAGGACAGGAATCCCTGTGATGAACAATGATAGTCCCTCACTCCCTGCCAACAGCCCTGAGCTCTCACTCGATGTTGCAGCACTCACTCGTCCCACACCTTTTGCACCCCGAGCGGGCTCAGCAGCTTTCTGTTAAAGCTCAGCTGCTTTTCCTGTCTCTGTGCGAGGAAGTAGGGTACAGAAGTAGCGAGCAGAGTCCTGAGGCTGCAGGGCACGCAGGAACAGATATGCTTCAGACCGGGAATTGTCCCGGGAGACATTAGCTCGACTCTGCACGGACTCCACAAATTTAGTGACTGAAGAATCAAACTTGATGTAGGACACCCACTCGGGTCTGCCTCCGGGTGCCTGGCGGTACCACCGAATGCTATATTCCTCGAACCTAAAGCCGTATCCGCGGCAGGAGAGGAGCACGGAGTCCCCGGGCGCTCGCAGCCCTCCGCCGGTCTCCTCCAGCCTGAGCTGCGCCCACATCCCTGTGGATGGAGAGTGCAGGCAGCCGAGCAGGGCACATCCTCGGCACGAAGCCGTTCACCCGCCGCCCGGCGTCCCCGCAACGGCACAGCGACCGCTGCCACCTTCCTCTGTCCCGGCAAAGCCCCGAGCCCGGATCAAAGCCCCGCCTGCCCTCCTTTAGCTGAGCCGCTCCAGAGGCGGATAAAAGGGCCACGACGGTGGGAGGAAACCTTTCCTCTGCCTTCCCTCTCCTTCTCTTCGTTCTTTCCCTCCTTTTCCTCTCCCTCTGCTTTCCATCTTTCCGCTTCCATTCCCTTCTCTGTTCCTTTCCTTTGACAATCCTCTGTCCCCGTCCCTTCCCAGTCACTCTCCCCTTCTCCAGCCCTGAGCTTCCTGCCATCCCCGCCAGGTGCTCACCTGACGTCCCTAAGGCCAAGGCCAGCAGCCAAGGACCCAGCACGGGCACCATCATTCGGGAGCCGGAGAGGATCCGAGCAGAGCCGGGCACGGACCGAATCCTGCCCCCAACCCCGCCGCCTCGAACCGCCCCACAGACCCACCCGGGACCGGCCCCCCGGTGCCACAGCCTCTTTGCAGCACGAGAAGGAGAGGGACGGGGTGGGTAGCAGGGCACAGGAGGAGTGCGGTGCCTCGGCAGACGGAGGCTCCCGGCCCTCAACGTTCGGAGTTACGGCTTTTGTCTTCACCCGTAGGCGCGAGGAAGGCCGGCTTTCCTGGAAATGGCCAAACACCTGCCTGCGAATGGCAAGTAGGGAATCAATTCCACAGTTTTCCTTCACCTATTAAACCCTCTTGATCTAAATCTAGGACCTTCTTTTACCCTTCCAGTTCTCTCCCCCGTCCTGCTGAGGGGACATTGAGCGAGTGCCTCTGTGGTGCTTAGCTGCCTGTCAGGGCTCACCCACAATGGGAGGGAAGGAACTGTCACATGAAAGGGGGAGATTTTCTCAACCTCTACTGCTCGATCTATCAGTGCACCAGGAAAGCAGAGACCCTTGCGCCCAACCAGGCTCAAAGCATCCTTAATAAAGTGCTCTGTTGAGTCAGTCCTTCATGGGCGCCAGCAATCACTGGCAGCGGGTAACAAACGGGTAGATCCAACGAGGGGACCCCCTGATGCTGCCTGCGTGTTTCCTTGAAACAGCCGAATCTCCCTCGAATCCATTGGGACTGTTGGGTGAAGGGTCTCTATAACGAGACACTGACTGGTTGATCACACAGGTCTCGACTTTGGGTGCTCATGGACAAAAACACCAGATTGAGAAAATCTCTCCCTCTTTCACGTGACAGCCCTGAAGATGGTGAAGAAAACAGAGCCCCATGATAGCATCGGGACTGTGGACAGCCCATGTTGGAACATGTTTATCCCGAAGGACTGCAGCCCTTGGGAAGAAACCACCCGGGAGCAATTTGTGTAGGCCTGATGACCAGGGGGAGGAGGACATAAGGGTAGAAATGAAGTCACTGACGTACCCAACCCATCACCCGTGTGCCAGCTGGAGAGAGGAGGTGGATCAGTCAGGAGTGAAGCTAAATGTAGGGAGGATGAGGACAACGTGGATTTAGTTTTCACTTTCTGCTCCTCACATTCTTTTTAGTATAGGATCCATTTCCTTCAGTGTGCAAGAGAGGACAGGAATCCCTGTGATGAACAATGATGGTCCCTCACTCCCTGCCAACAGCCCTGAGCTCTCCCTCATCGATGTTGCAGCACTCACCCGTCTCACAGTTTTTGCACCCTGGGCGGGCTCCACGTTTCTGTTAAAGCTCAGCTGCTTTTCCTGTCTCTGTGGGCCGTACTGTGCAGAAGTAGCGAGCAGAGTCCTGAGGCTGCAGGGCACGCAGGAACAGATATGCTTCAGACCGGGAATTGTCCCGGGAGACATTAGCTCGACTCTGCACGGACTCCACAAATTTAGTGACTGAAGAATCAAAGGCGATGTAGGACACCCACTCGGGTCTGCCTCCGGGTGCCTGGCGGTACCACCGAATGCCATATTCCTCGAACCTAAAGCCGTATCCGCGGCAGGAGAGGAGCACGGAGTCCCCGGGCGCTCGCAGCCCTCCGCCGGTCTCCTCCAGCCTGAGCTGCGCCCACACCCCTGTGGATGGAGAGTGCAGGCAGCCGGGCACGGCGTAACCCCGACCCGAGGCCGTTCGCCCGCCGCCCCGGCGTCCATACCCCGGCAGAGCGACCGCCGCCACCTTCCTCTCTCCCGGCAAAGCCCAGGCCCCGGCACAGGGCCCCGCCTGTCCTCCTTTAACTGAGCCGCTCCAGCGGCCGGCAATAGTGCCACGACGGTGGGAGGAAACCTTTGCCTTCCCTCTCCTTCTCTTCTCCCCTTCCCTCCTTTTCCTCTCCCTCTGCTTTCCATCTTTCCGCTTCTCTTCCGTTCACTTCCCTCTTCCCTTCGCCAGTCCTGTCTGTCCCCATCCCTTCCCTGTCCCTCTCCCCTTCTCGCTGCCCTCCCCTCCAGGCGCTCACCTGCCAGCCCCAAAGCCAAGGCCAGCAGCCACGGACCCAGCGCGGGCACCATCATGCGGGAGCCGGAGAGGATCCGAGCGGAGCCGGGCACGGAACGAATCCTGCCTGCCCCGCTGCCTCTGCCCGCCCCCAACAGACCCGCCCCGGCGGTACCGCGGCCCCTTCGCAGAACAAGGAGAGGAGATATCGCGGGGTGGGTGCGGAAATAGGAAGGCCGCTGCGTCGCGGGAAAAGGATGCTCCTGGCGCTCGACGTTGCAGCACTCACCCGTCCCACAGCTTTTGCACCCTGGGCGGGCTCAGCACGTTTCTGTTAAAGCTCAGCTGCTTTTCCTGTCTCCGTGTGAATATACTGTGCAGAAGTAGCGAGCAGAGTCCTGAGGCTGCAGGGCACTCAGGAACAGGGATGACACAGACCGGGAATTGTCCCGGGAGACATTAGCTCGACTCTGCACGGACTGCGCAAATTTAGTGACTGAAGAATCAAAGCTGATGTAGGACACCCACTCGGGTCTGTCTCCGGGTGCCTGACGGTACCACAAAATGGTATATACCCGGAACTGAAATCCGTATCCGCGGCAGGAGAGGAGCACGGAGTCCCCGGGCGCTCGCAGCCCTCCGCCGGTCTCCTCCAGCCTGAGCTGCGCCCACACCCCTGTGGATGGAGAGTGCAGGCAGCCGGGCAGGGCGCAACCACGACCCGACGCCGTTTACCCGCCGCCCCGGCATTCCCACCCCGACACAGAGATCGCCGCCACCCTCCTCTGTCCCGGCAATGCCCAGCACCCGGGACAGGACCCTGCCTGACAGCTTCGGGGCTGAGTCGCGCCACCTGCCGATAACGGGGCCGCGACCGCGGGTCGAAACCTTCCCTCTGCCTTCCCTTCCCTTGTATTCCTTCTTTCCACTTTCCTTCTGCCTTCCCTTTTCATCTCTTCCATTCTCCACTGCCTTTTTGCCAATCCTTGTCTCCATCCTTTCCCTGTCCGTCTATTCTTCCCCCTGTCCTCTCCAGCTCCGCGCTTGCTGCCCTGCCCGACCGGCTCTCACCTGCCGAAGCCAAGGCCAAGGCTAAGGCCAGCAGCCACGGACCCAGCGCGGCCACCATCATGCGGAAGCCAGAACAGAGACGAGCCCGTCTCCTGCCCACCCCGCCGCCTTGCCCCCCCTCCAACAGACCCTCCCGGGACCGGGCCACCGGTGCCGCGGCCCCGTTGCAGTATGACAAGGGGAGGGACGGGGTGGGTAGTACGGCACAGGAAGAGCACGGCCCCCTGGTAAAAGGAGGCTCCCTACCCTCGACGTTTGACGTTACCGCTTTTCTCCTCCCCCGTAGGCGCGGGGAAGGCCGGCTTTCCTGGAAATGGCCAAACACCTGCCTGCGATTGGGAAGTAGGGAATGAATTCCTTTATTTTTCCTTCACAAACCCTCGATCTAAACCTCCTTTTCTTTTACCCTTCCGGTTCTCTCCCCCGTCCTGCTGAGGGGACATTGAGTGCCTCTATGGTGCTTAGCTGCCTGTCAGGGCTCACCCATAATGGGAGGGGAAGGAACTGTGTCGCGTGAAAGATTTTCTCAACCTCTACTGCTCGATCTGTCAGTGCCCCAGGAGAGCAGAGACCCTTGTGCCCAACCAGGCTCAAACTGTCCTTCATGGGCGCCTGCAGTGTGAAACTGTGCAAGACAGGACAGGAATCCCTGTGATGAACTCCCTGCCAACAGCCCTGAGCTTCCCCTCATCGATGTTGCGGCACTCACTCGCCCCACAGCTTTTGCACCCAGGACGGGCTCAGCACGTTTCTGTTAAAGCTCAGCTGCTTTTCCTGTCTCCGTGTGAGGAAGCACGGCGCAGAAGTAGCGAGCAGAGTCCTGAGGCTGCAGGGCACGCAGGAACAGATATGCTTCAGACCGGGAATTGTCCCGGGAGACAGTGGCTCGACCTTCCACCGCTGCTGCATATGTCGTGGAAGTCGAGGAGGGATTGATGAAAGACACCCACTCGAGTCTACCTCCGGGTGCCTGACGGTACCACAGAACGAAGTAAGTCCCGAAGTTGAAGCCGTATCCGAGGCAGGAGAGGCGCACGGAGTCCCCGGGGGCTCGCAGCCCTCCGCCGGTCTCCTCCAGCCTGAGCTGCGCCCACACCCCTGTGGATGGAGAGTGCAGGCAGCCGGGCAGGGCGCAACCCCGACCCGAGGCGGTTCCCCGATCCCCGGCGCTCCCGCCCTAGCACAGCGACCGCCATCACCCTCCTCACTCCCAGCAAAGCCCAGCGCTAGGGCCCAGGGATCTGCCTGCCCTCCTCGGGGCTGAGCCTCCCCTGACGCCGATACCGGGACCACGACCACGGACGCAACCTTCCCTCTGCCTTCCCCCTTCCTCTCCTTCACTTTGCCTTCCCCTTTCCTGTCTTCCCTTCGGTAGTCCTGTCCCTGTCTCTTTCTCTTCCCTCTCCCCTTTCCCAGCCCCTGGATCGCTGCCCTCCCCATCTGGCTCTCACCTGCCGGCCCCAATGCCAAGGCCAGGAGCCACGGGCCCAGCGCGGGCACCATCATGCGGGATCCGAAGAGCAGCTGAGCGAGGACGCACTCTTGCCCGGTCCTGCCCGCCCCGCCTCCTTGCCCCTCGCCATGGCAGCACCGACGCCTCTGCCCGCCTCCAACAGATTCGCCCCGGACCGGCCCCCGGTGCCGCGGCCCCTTTGCGCCCGGACAAGGGGTTTGGGGATATCGCAGGGAGGGCCGCGGGGCACAGGAGGAGCGCTTCCCCCCGGGCAGACGGCGGCTCCCGGTCCTGATCTCCCACCACCGCTGCAGCCCTGTCCCGGCCCTGCCAAGCCCTGCCGAAGGGGGTCGGGCTCCATCCACCCCAACCCGCCCTGGCCCCGCTCCCATTCGCTGCTCGCGGGGACAAATGAGTGCGGAAACAACCTTCCGCAGCCTTGTCGCCTTGCCCCACACTCCTTTCTGCCGCTGTGAGGTCCCCCTTCCTTCTGCCATTGCAGCCCCTTCGAGCTGCAGTTCATCCAAGGTCTTGCAACTTACTATTCTTTGTTTCGTGCTTGGCCATAAAGCTGTCCTGTGTGTGATCAGTAACTTGGCATTCTGTCTTCCGTGCTTTCTACGCAGAGGTGGACAGCTGGAGATGCTGCTAGAGATTTGACGGGGCTGCAGGGATCTGCTGGGGCTCTCAGGAGCTGAATCTCCTTGTCAGCCTTCTCAGGATGGTTACTAATCCCATGGACATCAGGGTCCACGAAGCTAGAACTGCTTCATCTTCAGCTTTCTGCATATTTGCCCTGCCTGTACCCTTGTCACCCCTGTCTCTCATCACACTATTCTTCAGTTAGAGCCCTGTTACCCCCTTGTTACAACTCTAAACCCAAGAGCCGAGTTGAAGGTAGTTGGAATTGCCAGGTCATTTTCACTATGCTTGCTTTAGCTTTTCCAGAGTAGACTTTCTGCTGACTGGGATGTATGTGGGAGGATATCTAACCATATGCAACACAGAGAAGGATATCCTGCGTAGTGCTGAAGGCATTAAGGTAAAAGCTCCTTTCCTGTACCTTGGCTACAAGAGGAGCAAGAGGAGGGCCTGTGGTCCATCAGGTAGCTGTGCCAAGGGCTAGGGCTGGGTTGAGACCTCAGAACACTGTCACCCCAGCAGACTGGGGTGTGCAGTATCAGGTGTTGGACAAACCAAGAGCAGGTAAGGAGTGATGCTGCAGGTTAAGTCCAGGGAATGTCGATCATTTCCTTTAGAAGTGTTGGTTTCTGTGTGAGGAAAGTTGTGTCCCCGCTGATCTGCACAGTCCCATGATCCTGTGTTTCTAAGTCCCTGGTCTGAATACCCCTGCTTAGATGGGGGCCTTTGACAAAAGTAGGGAGTAATTGGGCTGGGAGATGTTGGAAAGGTTAATGTAAGGAGAGGATCATTTCAGGGACAAAAGCACTGCCAAGGCTGGAAGACGCAGAGGTTCACCCCTCCTATGCTGTTCTTCGCAATGCAGATTTTGCACGAGTGGAAATGTGGCTTAGTTTAATGTGGTACTTCAGAGCACAGTAATAAATCGCAGTGTCCTCAAAAGAGACATTTGCTATTTCTAAGGGGGCTGTTTTATTTTTGTAGACCACCACAGAGAACTGGCCACTGCGGAACTTGTCATTCCCTGAATCTTTAAATGCTTGTAGGAGAAATTTCAAGGCTTCCCCCGGGAGCTGGCGGTACCAGAAGAAGTTCAGACCGCTGCCACTGTCCTCGATGGTGGACTGGCAGGGCAGAACCACTCGCTGCCCAACTGTGGCTGACACATTGGAGAGGAATTGCTTCGGGGGGTTACCTCCAACAAGACCTGCAAAACAGAAATGTGTCTGCAGAGCAGCTTGCTTCCTTCTCTCTTGCTTTGTGTTTAAGGCTGTTTGCTCCACACCTTTCCTTTTTCCAAGGGAAATTTCAGATATCTACTTCCACCACCCCTCTGCATTACTGCCTGACCTCATCTTGTCAGCACATAGCTGTGCACAGCCTACTAAAAACTGTGGGAGACGATAGGAAGCACATGAATATACTCACCTGTCTGGATTAGCAGGACACATGCTGGCAAAGCCATGGTGAAGATCATTTTTCCCAGCTCCGGAATCCCTGTCCCTCGGAAGATGCTTAACACACTAGAGAGCAAGGCACAATGAAATCGCTGCTTCCTGAAGAGTGTGCCAGAGTGTGTGTGACAGTCACACCTCTGCTGTGAGGAGGGCAAGAATGAGGCCCATTCGCCTTTGTTTTCGCGGCATAGAGTGGACAGTCTCGGTGCCTTCCTGGGTTCCTGCCCGGAGCTTGGCTCCGGAGCCGCGTGCGGGGGATGCAGCGGGGCACGAAAGGGGGGTCCGATGCCGGTACCGGGCGGAGCAGCAGCGCCACCTCCCGGGCCCGGGCGCCGCTGTCCGCGCCCCCGACACACACGCCCGGCCCCGCCCGCGGCGGTTTTTGCTCGGCCGCCGCCCCGGCTCCTCTCTCCGTGCTTGCTGGGCGCAGTAGTACACCGCCGCGTCCCGGAGCCGGGGCCCAGAGAGCCACAGCACGTTGGACCGGCGATCTGCCGCCACCGAGAGCCGCCCCGGCGGGTCCAGCAGCGCTTTGGAGCCTTGAAGAGCGCTCACGAGGAATGCGGGGCCTCGGCCCGGGACCTGACGGTACCAATGGATGAACTCGTAACGCCCTAGGTTGGGGTGTGAGCAGTTGATGCTGATGCCGGTGCCCTCGGTGGTCTCTGCCCACGGGTCCTGCTGCACCTGGGCTCTCCCCACAGCAGCTGCCAACACATAAGGAAAGGAGAAACGTTGTCAAAGATCACTGAGATCCGATTTTCCCACAGGGTTAGCAAGAGTGGCAGTGAGAGACCAGATGGGGACACGTGCCCATCAACAGGGATGGAGTGATCCCGGCATGGGTGGGAAAAATACACATGGAGAGAGAGAGGATGAAAGGTGCATGGGTGGGTGGATGGAGGGAGAGAAGGGACGGGGGAGTTGAGGGTGCCTACAGTGAAGGATGGAGGGCTGAAATCCGAAGGAGAATAAATGCTGAATGCAGAAGGGGGTGAGAAGATGGAATAAATACAGCGTGCAGGAAATCAAACTTCTGCCCAGAGCTGTGAAAGAAGGGGAGAAATGGGGGACGTAGTGGAGTAGGAAGAGGGTAGGAAGTGGGGGACGTGGTGGAGTAGGAAGAGGAGACTCGGAGGGTTTGCAAAGGGGGACGAGGGGTGTCAGAGAGGCAGGGAGGGGGAAGGAGGCGTGGAAGGAGCGGGAGAGGTTGGCGCTGGGCTCCCCGCGGAAGAGCCCGGGCACAAACCGGCCCCGCCACCGCCGCCAGCCCCGCGCACCCAGGAGCACCGCGGCCAGCCCCGCCAGCGCCGCCGCCCGGCACCGCCGCATCCCGCCGCTCCGCCGCCCGCGTCCTCCCTGCCCGCTGCAGCCCCGGCTCCGGGCTCCCGGCTCCTCCTCTCCGCCACCTCCGCCCCTTCTCTCGTCCCCTCCCCGCCGCCAGCTCCGCCCCGGGGCTGGGTCCTGCGTCGGCTTTGCTGGGGGTCTGAGCCGGCCTGAGGGTGCTCAGCGCCTGTGCGCGGGCAGAAGGGGGTCTTCGGGGAGAGGGACTGCCCCCTCTTCCAGCAAGGACGCCCATCAGGAACCAGCTTCCACCGCTGCAGGAGATGGAGCAGCTTCTCGGAGCTGTTTCCCAGCGTGGGGGCTGCAAACACCAGCCACGGATTTCCTGCGCAGGGCAGAGAGAAGGCTGAGCTCCTGCCTTCCCTTGCCCCTCTGCAGTCCCAGCGCAGTGCCTAGAAATTCTCTTGTGGCAGAGGGAGTGTGAGGAGTCCTGTGCCCATCGGCACGCAGGGCTCAGGAAGGCCAGGGCCGCTGTGGAATCACAGAAAGCAGGTCGGGAGGGACCTCCAGGGGCTGCTCGGAACAGATATCGTTAGATCAGGTTGCCCAAGGTCACATTCACTCCAGCCTTGAGCATCTCCCATTACTGACATTGCACAACCTCCCTGGGAAACGTTTTCTCATCATGTGGAATGACCACAAACGCTCTGACCCTGGAAACCTGCTGCTCTGTCCTGCTAATGGGCAGAACAGTGGAGCGTGTCCTCACTATGAGCAGGACATTTCCTCCTGATGAGGGGCACACAAGGACACAGACACACAGCTCATGCACATCAGTGTAGAATTATGTACCAATTCTTTTCCAGTGTGTACTCAGACATGCATGTGGCACATCCTCATAGCCAGGAACCCTTGGGCTTCCTTCCTGCCGAGAATGGCTGGAGCTTCTTCCTGAGAAACTCGAGTGACCCAGACTAATGTCACTGGCCTTCTAAGGACGCATCCAGCACTTGAGCTAAGTCTTCTGCCAGGACTGCTGCATTCCTGACTCAGAAATCCCAAGGCCTTTCATGCCTGTGCTCAGAAGAAGCCTTCATTGGGAAACAGGCATGGCCCAAACCTGGAAATGAAAAGGCAGCAGTGTTGGAAACCAAAGCACAGCCCATATCATTAGCTGCAATGGTTTGCATCAAGATGAGCTTGTCAGATAATTGTTACCTCTGCAAAGGCACCTCTGGTCCTGCGGCAGTGATGGGCAGATATAAAAGGCAGGCCAGGTCCCTGCTCTCTCATCCACTTCTCTTGCCTCCTCCTCCTTGAGAACCAGGTGAGTCTGAAGCCCCTTGTCCTCCTCCTAAAAGCGCGGTCTATCCTCAGTGAAACTCTCAGCTGATGTTAGCCTTATCCTGTGCTGGGGCTTGCAGCGTTGTGCATAGATGAGAGAAGTGGGGAGAATGTCTGCCTAGAGAAAGGCTGGGAAGTGGCTGAAGGGGCTTTTGGTTTACAAATTCCAAGAGACCCTCCCTGTCCCAGGCTGCTCTATATCGGCAATGGAGACCCTGTGGCACCTGGCGCAGCTTCCAGCTGCCCGCTCCTTATTGGCTCTTTGCCACAGGAAAGCCAGGCTGCTCCTCATCCACCCTTGTGCTCATCCTCTGCTTGCCCCTGCCCTGTGTCCAGGTGAAGCTCCAACACCCAGACATGTCCTGCTACAACCCGTGCGTGCCCTGCCAGCCCTGCGGCCCGACCCCGCTGGCCAACAGCTGCAATGAGTGCTGTGTCAGGCAGTGCCAGAGCTCCACTGTTGTCATCGAGCCTCCTGCTGTGGTGGTGACCCTGCCCGGCCCCATCCTCAGCTCCTTCCCTCAGAACACCATTGTGGGCTCCTCCACCTCCGCTGCCATTGGCAGCATCCTCAGCTGCGGTGGAGTGCCCATCAACTCCGGGGGCTTCGACCTCTCTGGCATTTCCCGACGCTATGGTGGCAGGAGGTACCTCCTCTGATAAACGTGCTGGGAGAGCCCCGGGAGACATCTGCAGGAACTCAGGGCATGGTGCTGGATAGAGGATCGATCTTCTGGATGTTTTCAACACAGCTGAATGAGCTTTCCTTTCTCTCCCTTCTCCACAGCCAAGAACCGCAGACTCTTGGCTTTCCCCAGGGATCCCTGCACTGGTGCCCTCCACTCGGTCTTTGTTTCCCTCTTTTAACTCATTAAAGTTCTGCTTCACTGGCAAGCCTGGCCTCCTTGTGGTCCTTCCCCTGTGAGAGCTGCTGTTTCACCCTTCCTTCAATATGCTGTCACAGAGGCACTGTGTTGGCTCAGCTTTTGGCAGCAGGCTGTCTTGGAGCCGGCTATTACTGGCTGTTATCTTCTCACAGAAGCCAATCCAGCAGCCCCTTCAGTACCTGTACCTTGCCAGGTAAACCAACACACTATCGTGTGCAGAAACTGGCACAGAGGAACCTTGGCTGCAAGGCAAACTCAGCCACCTCTCGAATAACAGAAGAGGCAGCCGAAAGCTCCCTCTTGCTGCAGGCTGTTCCAGCACTGGTATGCAAAGCACCAGGACAAAAAATGCCAGCACAAAGACGCAGGAATATTCACAGTGTACCCACATCATTTTCAGCTGCTTTCTAAAGTGTTGGTCCTGTGTTTTTTCAAGAGGGTATGTCTAGAGACAGGTTCACGACTACGTCACTTATGTCCTAGTCTCAATGATTGTAAAATAAAAATTCCCTACTGTACGCTGCTGCAAATCTGGCATGTCCAGGACACAGAGTCCCTTGCTGCCATAGGAGCTCATCTCTGTGACACCACCCCCTGTTTAGGACCTGGGGATAATCAAAGATCCCCCCAAGACAAACCCTGCCTCCCTGAGTTATTGCACAGCTGGGGCAGCTGCCTGCACCACGGTGTCTTGCCCAGCACAGAGGTACAAGGCACTGTCGGAGAGCTCGACCTCCTGCAGCTTCAGGAGGCTGTATTTCCCTGTGGTGTTCAGCAGCGTGCTGAAACGGCCGCTCTGCCTGGGGCCAGCAACTGCCTGATACGAGATGAGCTGTGGGGCTTGGTCTTTCTTTTGCTGGTACCAAGCCAAACCTTGAAAGTTGGACGCCTGGTATGTGCAAGTTGTTTGAAAGGTTTCTCTCTCCTTTACTGTGACTTGTCCTTCTTGCTGGGTGAGTGTGATCTGCCCCATGGTGCCTGCAAGAAAGGAAAGGTCAGCAGCTCTGCAGGGAAAGGCTCCAGGAAGCAAAGAAGGAATGGATACAAACCCAGCTGGTGAAAGCTCCCTTCCCCTTGCCCGCCAGGAAAACACTGATGCCTGGGGATGCAAAGAGGAAGAGCAATTTTGGGCAAAATGGGACACCCTATTAATGTGAGATAACTGCAAAGTGCCTGGGGCATCTTGGACAAGATCTGCTACCTTGTGTTGGAAAGGGAGAAATGTGGGACTGCAGAGCTGGATTTGATCTGCTATGGTGACAGCAAGTGAATAGGAAGAGATAGGCAGAGAGATGAAGGGGAGAGAAAAGCAGGAGCAGTAGCATATCTCTCTGTACTAATCTTGTTTCCAATAGGAATGGCATCTGGAGAGAACGTGCAAAACCACAAATGGGAGGTGATGCTTCCCAGCTTTTTTCCCGTTATTCAAGAGTAGTTCTTGGCATGACCCTGATAAAGCAGGCAAGGGTTCCCTGGGGAGAGGAAGAGGCAAGTGCTTACAGAAGGGCAGGACTTACCTTGCAGTTGCCCCAAGAAAACAGTGAGGATGAGATATCCGAGTTGCATGCTGAGATCAACCTGCCTGTTTGCTGTCACAAAACCAGCTCCCAGCCCCGAGACGAGAGAGCTGCCGGGAACGGCTCTGTTGGGGCAGCAAAGAGAAGCGGGGAAGCGTTGTTGCTCAGCCGCCTGGGAGCAACGCCTCTCCCGCAGATGCCCCAGGACAGATGAACACTGCCGTGCAGCAGTGCAGGCTCTCTGGCTCCGGAGCCGCTTGCGGGGGATGCAGCGGGGCACGAAAGGGGGGGCCTCGACGGGTCCGATGGCGGTGCCGGGCGGAGCAGCAGCGCCCCCTCGCGGGCCCGGGCGCCGCTGTCCGCGCCCCCGACACACACGCCCGGCCCCGCCCGCGGCGGTTTTTGCTCGGCCGCAGCCCCGGCTCCTCTCTCCGTGCTTGCTGGGCGCAGTAGTACACCGCCGCGTCCCGGAGCCGGGGCCCAGAGAGCCACAGCACGTTGGACCGGCGATCTGCCGCCACCGAGAGCCGCCCCGGCGGGTCCAGCAGCACTTTGGAGCCTTGAAGAGCGCTTACGAGGAATGCGGGGCCACGGCCCGGGACCTGACGGTACCAATGGATGAAGTCGTTTAACTGTCTATTGGGGTGTGAGCAGTTGATGCTGATGCCGGTGCCCTCGGTGGTCTCTGCCCACGGGTCCTGCTGCACCTGGGCTCTGCCCACAGCTGCTGCCGACAGGAGAAGGAAAGGACAAACGTTGTCAAAGATCACCGAGATTCGATTTTCTCAGAGAAAGGATTAGCAAGAGTGGCAGTGAGACAGAGCCGGACCAGAACAGCTGGAACACGTGAACGTCAACAGAGATGGAGAATAAAGAATGAACAGGGGTTGTGTGGCTGCAGGGTGTAACTGTGGAATGCAGGAAACCAAAGTTGTGCCTCCAGAAGCAAAGGAAGCAACGAGGGGTTTTAGAGCAGGAAGAGGAGCTTAGAATGGCAGATATAGGGAGAGATGTGTCATAAACTGACGGGATGAATGGATAAAGGGCAGATCAGGAGGGTGTATTACAGGTCAGGACAGAGGGCTGTATTCAGGGCAATAAGCTCTGAATGCAGCCGTGAAGGAGATGGTGCATGGAAAAGCAGGCGCACATGCAAGCAGGCTCGTAGCGACAGAGGCAGCGGAGAAATAGGGCGAGTAGGAAGAGGGGACTCGGAGGGTTTGCAAAGGGGGACGAGGGGTGTCAGAGAGGCAGGGAGGGGGAAGGAGGCGTGGAAGGAGCGGGAGAGGTTGGCGCTGGGCTCCCCGCGGAAGAGCCCGGGCACAAACCGGCCCCGCCACCGCCGCCAGCCCCGCGCACCCAGGAGCACCGCGGCCAGCCCCGCCAGCGCCGCCGCCCGGCACCGCCGCATCCCGCCGCTCCGCCGCCCGCGTCCTCCCTGCCCGCTGCAGCCCCGGCTCCGGGCTCCCGGCTCCTCCTCTCCGCCACCTCCGCCCCTTCTCTCGTCCCCTCCCCGCCGCCAGCTCCGCCCCGGGGCTGGGTCCTGCGTCGGCTTTGCCGGGGGTCTGAGCCGGCCTGAGGGTGCTCAGCGGCTGTGCGCGGGCAGAAGGGGGTCTCCTGCCAAAGGGGTTCCCCTAATCAGGCAGCACTGTCCTCGCAGCCTGGTACCTCTTGGGAGCACGTGCACAAACTCGTGTTTTGTATCATTAAAAGCTTCAGCTGAAATCTGATTTGTGTAAGACTCCGGGGACTTGAATATTTGCACTGAGGGATTTGACTCTGTGACGCTGTCGGTGGAGGTCCCTGAATATGTCAGATGAATCACCCTGCAAGCTGGTGACTGTCCAGGACATGGACACGCTCGATGGGCACAAGGGTCTCGTCATTCCTGGGACACTGATAGGCTGGTGAAATATAAACGGTTCGAGGATCCCCCCCTTGTAGTTTGTTGGAATGCAGGACGAATATGGACAAGAAGGACAAGCACTCCACAATCCTTTAGATATAAACCTTTGACCAAGTCTAAGACCAAGGCTGGCTCCAGGTGCACCCAGCCCCTCTAACATCTGAGGATCAGCTGGAAAGCAAAGGGGTCTTTTCTGAACCTTGTGACTCAACAGAAGGGTCTCTCTAACACATCTTGTCCACCAGCTTAAGGTGATCACACGATCCATGACACTGAGGTGCCCCATGCAAACGCTCCCAGGGTTGGTGCTAGTGGCAGTGTCCAGAAGGCATCGGCTCCTAACGCATCTTTGCAGACTCCTTGTAGAACAGCTCACGATGGTGGAGCTCTGTCCAAGATATTTTTTAATTAAAGCACCAGCATGTGTTTAATCTGCCTGAAGGGGTAACAGACCTTTCCCTTTCCCTACTGTAGGCTGCTGCAAGTCTTACATGTCCAGGACACACAGACCCTTGGTGACAGAGGAGCTCATCTGTACGACACCGCTCCCTGTTTAAGAGCTGAGGATGATCATAGATCTCCCCTCCAGCTCCCCTTAGTAGAGCATCAGGAGCCCAGGGGCTTGGCCGTAAAGTTCATTTTTATGTTGGTGTCTTGGCTTACTCGTTTCCGACACAGAGGTCTGGGGTCTGGCTTCATCTACCTCATGAGTGTGGTTTCCTGTTGTGTGTTTCTTCCTTGCACAGCTGGGGCAGCTGCCTGCACCAGAGTGTCTTGCTCAGCACAGAGGTACAAGGCACTGTCGGAGAGCTCGACCTCCTGCAGCTTCAGGAGGCTGTATTTCCCTGTGGTGTTCAGCAGCGTGCTGAAACGGCCGCTCTGCTTATGGCCAGCAACTGCCTGATACGAGATGAGCTGTGGGGCTTGGTCTTTCTTCTGCTGGTACCAAGCTAAGCCGTAAAAGTTAGCGCTCTGGTAAGTGCAGGTGGTCTGGAAGGTTTCTTTCTCCTTTACTGTGACTTCTTGCTGGGTGAGAGTGATCTGCCCCATGGTGCCTGGAAGAAAGCAGGAATGCCTGCACCACGGTGTCTTGCCCAGCACAGGGTGGACACAACCTCGGGCAACACAGTCTGTTGTGAGGCATCCCTTCCTGCAGCTTCAGGAGGCTGTCCTTTCCCTTGTGATGTTCAGCAGCGTGCTCTGAGATGCAAAACAAGAGCAGCTGCAAAGTATTGGTGGACAAAGGTCCCTGTCCCTGTTCTCCAGCTAAGCCACATTGATGGGAACAGCAACACAATGTTTTGGGACAGGAGGTTGAGACCTCAGCTCACTGTGGATCCGACAGCACAAAAATGCCAATTACCCCCGAAAGGGATACCCTGGTATGTTTCAGCAAGTTGTTTGAAAGGTCTCTCTCTCATGCTGCCTGCAGTGACTGGTCCTCCTGTGCTGGGGACACCTCCAGCAGTGTGAGGGGCATGGTGCCTGCAAGAGGCAAGGGAGAAGAGTCAGCAGCTCTGCATCAGGAGAGGAAGGCTTCTCTGTCTCATCTTTTCTATGTCAGCTATATCAGAAGGAATGAATACAAAACCACCTGTGTGAGCTGATGTTTCCAACATGTGCCCATCTTCCCTGCAAGGAAAACAGGGTCTTTGATGCCTGGGGAATGCTTACCCAGCGGTTTCCTCAGGAAGGCAGCAATTTTGAGGTACCCAAGGAGCATGGGACACTTCCTGCATGTGTGACAGAGACTCAGAAACCCACACGTCCCCACCAGGATAGCGGAGCTGTCAGAAATGACTCTACAAAGGGAACAACGAATGATATGGGGAGGGGTAAATGCTGCTGCTGAGCACAGCTGAAATGCCTGTGCTGTGGTCTTGTCTCCTCCAGTAATGACACATCTTGCTTCTGCAGATGCCACCTTCTGCCATTCCACTGCGAGTCCGTCCTTAGCTGATGCCTGTGTCCTCTCCCACCACCCTCAAACCCTTTTCTGGAACAGGTCTGAGACCTCCACACCCACCCTATGGCAACCATCGGCGTGACCTTGCTCTTGTCAGACTTTGGGATTATTTTACTTGTAAAGGAGATTACCCAGACCTGCTGCAATAGGCATGGTGTCCAGCTTTGATTTTGCCTCATGCACACCCATTTTGTGTGAACAGGCTCAATGTCCAAAACCAGACCCTGGAGCTTGGACCCCAACAGACCCTCTCTTTTTCCTGTAATGAGAACACGATCAGTTGAACTACTTCTGCCCAACCCACAGAAGCCCCAGAGCTTTCTGCTGACACAAAATCCACCAGCGATGGCTAGTGCCTTTTACCTTCTTAGCAGTGGGCTCTCAAAGACTTGCCTAAAGTTGTCAGGGCACAGAGGCAGGGAGCTGGGCAGTGGGATCCTGATGCTCAGCGTGTGGAGTGAGGCTGTGCTTCCTCCTGTGCCTGTCTCTGCCTGAGGGTGTATTAGTGCCTGCGTGTTTGCATTTATGTGTGCATTTGCAACTGCACACGGGACAGGGAGTGTCTGCTAGTGTGTGTGAACAAGTGCATTTCTGTGTGCCTATTCTGCACGTTTGTGAACACGTATTTGCAGGTGAGCAAGTATGTGTGTTGTGTGCGTTTCCTTCTGGGCATTGTACTGCTGGCGGCCTTTACAGAGGAGACAGTGGATGCCGCGTTCGCCAGAAAGCTCCGAGCCCGTCCTGGAGAACCAAGAAGAGCCTTTTAGGAAGCACCCGACTCCCCTCCCTGCCCTGCCGAACCCGTCCCGAGCGGGGCCCTTTGCTGCGCCCAGGAGCACAGACCCACAGCAGTCACCGAGGAGAAACGGTGCTGAGCCCACACAAGGGCACTAAAGGCACCTGGGGCGCCGCCTGGGGGCCCCGACGGCTCTGTCCCACCCCTCCGACACACGCACCCGGCCCCGCCCGCGGGGGTTCGTGCTCTGCCGCAGACCCGGCTTCCATCTCCGTGTCTCGTGGGCGCAGTAGTACACCGCCGAGTCCCGGAGCCGGGGCCCAGAGAGCCACAGGACGCTGAACCGGCGTTTTGCCGCCACCGAGAGCCGCCCCGGCGGGTCCAGCAGCACTTTGGAGCCTTGAAGAACGCTCACGAGGAATGCGGGGCCACGGCCCGGGAGCTGACGGTACCAATAGATGAACTCGTAAAGCCCTATGTTGGGGTGTGAGCAGTTGATGCTGATGCCGGTGCCCTCGGTGGTCTCTGCCCACGGGTCCTGCTGCACCTGGGCTCTGCCCAGAGCCGCTGCCGACACAAGGAAAGGACAAACGTTGTCAAAGATCACCGAGATCCGATTTTCTCAAAGGGTTAGCAAGAGTGGCAGCGAGACAGAGCCGGACTGATACAGATGGGGACAGGACCCATCAACAGGGATGGAGAGTGATCCCTCCATGGGTGGGAATTTGAAATGGACACACGGAGAGAGAGGATGAAAGTCAGGTGCATGGGTGGGTGGATGGAGAGCGAGAGAGGGGACGGGGGAGTTGAGGGTGCCTACAGTGAAGGATGGAGGGCTGAAATCCGAAGGAGAATAAATGCTGAATGCAGAAGGGGGTGAGAAGATGGAATAAATGCGGCGTGCAGGAAATCAAACTTGTGCCCAGAGCTGTGAAAGAAGGGGAGAAATGGGGGACGTAGTGGAGTAGGAAGAGGGTAGGAAGTGGGGACTCGGAGGGTTTGCAAAGGGGGACGAGGGGTGTCAGAGAGGCAGGGAGGGGGAAGGAGGCGTGGAAGGAGCGGGAGAGGTTGGCGCTGGGCTCCCCGCGGAAGAGCCCGGGCACAAACCGGCCCCGCCACCGCCGCCAGCCCCGCGCACCCAGGAGCACCGCGGCCAGCCCCGCCAGCGCCGCCGCCCGGCACCGCCGCATCCCGCCGCTCCGCCGCCCGCGTCCTCCCTGCCCGCTGCAGCCCCGGCTCCGGGCTCCCGGCTCCTCCTCTCCGCCACCTCCGCCCCTTCTCTCGTCCCCTCCCCGCCGCCAGCTCCGCCCCGGGGCTGGGTCCTGCGTCGGCTTTGCTGGGGGTCTGAGCCGGCCTGAGGGTGCTCAGCGGCTGTGCGCGGGCAGAAGGGGGTCTCCTGCCAAAGGGGTTCCCCTAATCAGGCAGCACTGTCCTCGCAGCCTGGTACCTCTTGGGAGCACGTGCACAAACTCGTGTTTTGTATCATTAAAAGCTTCAGCTGAAATCTGATTTGTGTAAGACTCTGGAGACTTGAATATTTGCACTGAGGGATTTGACTCTGTGACGCTGCCGGTGGAGGTCCCTGAATATGTCAGATGAATCACCCTGCAAGTTGGTGACTGTCCAGGACATGGACACGCTCGATGGGCACAAGGGTCTCGTCATTCCTGGGACACTGATAGGCTGGTGAAATATAAAGTGTTCAAGGATCCCCCCCTTGTAGTTTGTTGGAATGCAGGACGAATATGGACAAGAAGGACAAGCACTCCACAATCCTTTAGATATAAACCTTTGACCAAGTCTAAGACCAAGGTTGGCTCCAGGTGCACCCAGCCCCTCTAACATCTGAGGATCAGCTGGAAAGCAAAGGGGTCTTTTCTGAACCTTGTGACTCAACAGAAGGGTTTCTCTAACACATCTTGTCCACCAGCTTAAGGCAACCACGCAATCCATGACGCTGAGGTGCCCCATGCAAACGCTCCCAGGATTGGTGCTAGTGGCAGTGTCCAGAAGGAAGTGGTGCCAAATGCATCTTTGCAGACTCCTTGTAGAACAGCTCACGATGATGGACCCCTTTCCAATATATTTTCTATATTTTTATTTAATAAAGCACCAGCATGTGTTTAATCTGCCTGAATGGGTCACAAAAATTTCCTTACTGTGTCCTGCTGCAAGTCTGGCATGTCCCAGATGTGGAGTCCCTTGCTGCCAGAGGAGCTCATCACTACACCACCACTCTCTTTAGCAGCTGAAGATGATCGTAGATCCTCCCCTCAACCCCTCCCTGTGTTATTGCACAGCTGAGGCATCTCCCTGCACCACGGTGTCTTGCCCAGCACAGAGGTACAAGGCACTGTCAGAGAGCTCGACCTCCTGCAGCTTCAGGAGGCTGTATTTCCCTGTGGTGTTCAGCAGAGTGGTGAAACGGCCGCTCTGCCTGGGGCCAGCAAGTGCCTGATACGAGATGAGCTGTGGGGCTTGGTCTTTCCTTTGCTGGTACCAAAGCAAGGCATCAAAGCTGGCACTCTGGTAAGTGCAGGTGGTCTGGAAAGTGTCTCTCTCCTTTACTGTGACTTGTCCTTCTTGCTGAGTCTGTCCCATTGTTCCTGGAAGAAAAGAGGAGGCAGTGACTGTGCAGGGAAGTCCTCCAAGGTGCAAAACAAGAGTGGCTGAAAAGTGTTGGAAGAGAAGGGTCCCTGTGTAACACAATGTCTTGGGACAGGAGATTAAGACCTCAGCTCAGTGTGGATCTCACAGCACAATAACATCAATTATTCCCCAAAGGGATACAGCTCAGAGGAGAGCTCTCTCATAGGAGAGCTGTGCTTCCATGCACGTCTTTGGTCTCCACTCTCATGCTGCCTGCAGTCTCCAGGGACAGCTGCCTGCAGTGCCTGGCCCTCCTGTGCTGGCTCCAGGACACCTCCAGCAGTGTGAGGGGCAGAGCAGCAGCGAGAGGCAGAGGGAGATGGAGAGTTGACAAGAAGGGCTCTAAGCTGATCAGGAGAGGAGATGATGCTTCTCTGTCTCATCTTTTCTCTGTCAGCTATATCAGCATCTTGAGCAAGAATCTACAAAACCACCTGTGTGAGCTGATGTTTCCAACATGTGCCCATCGAGAGCTCCTCCCTGCAAGGAACTGTTGGGGTGAGGGTCTTTGGGAAGAAGAGGAATCATCCCGTCAGTCAAAGCCAATGCTTACCCAGCGGTTTCCTCAGGAAGGCAGCAAGGATGAGGTACCCAAGGAGCATGCTGAGACCAAGCTTCCTGCATGTGTGAGAGAGACTCAGAAACCCACACGTCCCCACCAGGATAGCGGAGCTGTCGGAAATGACTCTACAAAGGGAACAACGAATGATATGGGGAGGGATAAATGCTGCCGCTGACCACAGCTGAAATGCCTGTGCTGTGGTCTTGTCTCCTCCAGTAATGACACATCTTGCTTCTGCAGACGCCACCTTCTGCCATTCCACTGCGAGTCCGTCCTTAGCTGATGCCTGTGTCCTCTCCCACCACGCCCACGCGCTTATCTGACTTGGTCTCTCCTGGATCCTACACGGTGTAAAGCCCCAAGCTCTTGGCAGCTCACACCAAGGCTCTCCAGCTCTCTCAGACCTTATGTTCAACAACCCCAAACCCTGCAGGCACCGAGTGACCCCCTGCAGTACAGAGTTTTGGTCACAGGATAGCAGCAGCGAGCCCTCCCAGTCCTGCAAGGCTTCCCATCCAGGGCTTGACTATGCTTTTGTGACTTGAACCCTTGGCTGCGTTGCCATAAAGACTGCAAAAACACCTTTTAATTCATCCCTCCCCTCAAAAAAAGAAAAACCAAAACCAGGCACAAAATGAGAAAAACTTCCCCAAGCGGCATCTCATTACTTCGGTAACAGCCGTTTACATCGCGGCTAAACCCCTAAAAAATAAAGGGAGCACAGAACAAGTGCAAAACCCAAACAGTCGCAGCCCCCGCAGCCCCTGTTCCGCAGGCTGCGGAGGATGGTGCCACGTCTCTTGCTTGCCCTCTGCTCTTCTTTGACCCTCTTCTATTGCCGTGCTGAGACGGCCGCCCCAGGGCACTCACTGTCCTCGGTCCCTGCCCACACCTTCTCTCCCCACCCGAGACCCCGTCCGTGCGTGCTCCAATGCCCCCCTCTTGGGATGGATCCCTCTATAAACAGAGGCAGAAAGCCGCCGCGGTGTTCTTCCAAGGCTTCCAATGGCACAGCACACCCAGCTGGGAGAAGCAGGTGCCTGTGCTGACCCGCTCCCCCCTGTACATTCAGCAAAGGAAGCTATGGATGCCGGGGGCCAGGATCAGCCAAGCGGGCTCCCGGCGCGGACCCGGCCGGGCTGGAGGGAGAGATGGAAGGAGGGAGGGATGGAGGGAGGGATGGAAGGAAGGAGGGATGGAAGGATGGAAGGAGAGAGGGATGGAAGGAGGCAGGGATGGAAGGAGGGAGGGATGGAAGGATGGAAAAAGGGAGGGATGGAAGGAGGGAAGGAGGGGGGGATGAAAGAAGGGAGGGATGGAAGAAGGGGGGGATGAAAGGAGGGAGGGATGGAAGAAGGGAGGGATGGAAGGAGGGAGGGATGGAAGGATGGAAAGAGGGAGGGGTGGAAGGAGGGAAGGGGGGGGTGAAAGGAGGGAGGGGTGGAAGAAGGGAGGGATGGAAGGGGGCTGGGATGGAAGGATGGAAAGAGGGAGGGGTGGAAGGAGGGGGGGATGAAAGGAGGGAGGGATGGAAGAAGGGAGGGATGGAAGGAGGGGGGGATTAAGGAGGGAGGGCTGCAAGGAGGAAGGGCTGGAAGGAGGGAGGCGGTGCGTAGAGCGGCTCCCAGGGCGCATGGGCGAGGGATGCTGCAGGCTGCCGGGACGCGGGCGCCGAGGAGCTGCTCTGCGACCCGCAGCACCCACGGGTCCGCACTCGGGCTCGTAGCCGCAGGTAACGGTTCCCGGGCGGCAGCGCTGCTCCCGACGCGCGGAGCGGCTCCGTGCCTGCAGAGGACCGGCCCGGCGCCATTACGCAGGCGGGCGGGGCTGGGCCGGGCGCTGATGCTGCCTTCGAGGCGCGGGCCCCGATGGGGTGGGAGCCCGCGGGGCCGCTGGGGTTCACCGGGGGTTTCCGACCCAGGCCTCGGGCTGTGCTTGGCAGAAGCCCTCCGAGCGGCGGAGATGGGGCCGGAAAGGTGCCCGCAGAGCCCGGCCGCGCCTGGGGAAGCAGCGCTGGAAGCGGACGGGGGTGCGGGAGGTGCGGGGCGGGCCGGGCCGTAACCTCGCTCCGTGCCCGTCGCGCCTGCGGCTGGGTAGTGAGGAGGATCGGCCGCGCTTGCCTTGCCGCCGGTGGCCGAGCTCGGTGGAGAGCACGGAAAGGTCTCTGCGGAGCGGGGGAGCCCTGCCTGGCAAGGAGCATCCTTCACTGCCTGTATCGCAGTGACAAGAGAAAACAGCGATAAAAGCATCTAAAGGAATTCCTGGGTGTCGGAAGTAGCCTTATGTTGTAGCATCCTTAGTACCTGTGACCAAGGTTAACATTCCTATTAGCTCTAATGATTTGCATGTAATTGTAGCGTGGTCTGCATCAGAATGCCAGAGGGGTGTAAATGCCTTCGAGGCGTGCTTTTAGGAAGCCCCAGAACATCCTGTCATGGCAGCATCTTTCTGCTCTGTGTCTGTGCTTGTGGTGGTTTATTGGTGCTTTTAGATGTCCATTCTGTTTTCTGGCTTTTGAGACAGTTACTTGGGCCTTCTAAAACTGGCTGTCGTGAGAACAGAATAGGCAAGCTTGTGCTCTCTGCAGCATTGGCTTCACCCAAGATACCATCTGGTTATTAGATAACAGCATTTTTGTGTGCTTATTTGCATAGCAGAGCAACTGCAGGGCTCTTCCTGATTCAGGGTAAACTGAACACTTGAGAGAAAGATGTACTAGGAATTTTCTAGTTTCACATGCTTGCCATTTTTGTTTTGAGTTTTGTGCTTGAGTTCAGGTATTACCTTTGCTCATTTCAGGGCTGCCTCTGAATCACAGTCCAGAAAGAAGAAACAATCAAGTTGACTGAAGTTGAGCGGTTGTCTCGGGGATTAAGAACGAGGCCATGCCAGTGCTTTCGGAGGACTCAGGTAACTGATCTGCATGCTTTCCCCAGGCGGGTGACTGAAACCTTGTGTATGTGTTTAGCACAGGAAATTAATTGGAGTTAATTAAAATAGCATTAAGATAGTTCAAGGAGACTTCTTAGTAACTGCCTGAAAGAACACAAGGAAGGTGCAGTATAAAAGGTGGAAATGAGTAAAGCTAGTTCAGGAAGTGCCTAGTTTTATGACAACTCTGTGGAGCCCCTGGATATATGCAAGTAGGCAGGCTCCTATGGGTAACCTTGGACCTCTCGGTATAACACTGGCTTCTGCGCCTGCTTATTAAAGATCAGCCCTTATGTCTCTGCTGCTTGCTGTGCCTCTTCTTCATATTTTCAGAATAGGTGTTGTTAAGCTTCGTTAATATTCTTCCTTTCAGCTTCAAAAACCAGGGATTCGGTTTAAGGCTTGCTAGCCAGCTTCTCCAGTGTGCTACCCAGGGTGGGGTCATAGCTGCTGCTGATACTGAGTTTTAAAGCAGGAGTGACTTTGAGTCTCCCGCATCCAAATGCACTCTAAAATTCATGGAGAGAATAGCTAAAAAAGCAGAATTTAGCTGCTTCTTCCTTCCCCCCCTCGCAAACTAAGCTGGTTGTGTTATGTGATGTCTGCAATAGGAGATCCTGTGAGCCATGCTGTCTACAAAGCTTCTCTTCTGTGCTCAATTTACATTTAGGATTGCATGAAACTTTGGCCCTTTTGACGTCTCAGCTTAGACCAGATTCAAATCATAAAGAGGAAATGGGATTCCTTAGGGATGTCTTCAGTGAAAAGAGTCTCAACTACCTGATGAAGGTAAATGTTCACGTATGAGCATGTGTGCCTTAGGTTACTTATTCTCTGTTCCCTTGATTGATCAACTGTTTACGATGCTAAAGCTCTCTGGTTTTTATTTTAGGAAATCTGTGCTGACCAAAGCATGCAAAAGCACAAACATTAAGAACATTCACTAACATTTAACATATCTTATTTGGAAAAAAACCACCACATTTCTGCCTGGATTGCCACAATGCAGATCCAGTGCCCTGTATCTAAAAAGCAGTGTGAAATGGCTTTGTTTTTAACTTTACACTGCTGAGGTCTGAACAGATTCTCTGGCTGTCTGTGAAACTTAACGTGAGCAAAAACAAAACTAAAGGACTTCTAAACAAACCAAAATAACCCCAAGAGAGGGGGTTCTGACACTTACCTCAGAAAAATTCTATTCCTTAAGTATCAAACTGTTCCAGTGGAGGTATATTCAGGAAGTTTTGTATCTCTCTGTAGTAATACACTTGAATAATCTTTTCCAGATTCATGAAAAACTCCGTCATTATGAAAGGCAGAGTCCAACTCCTGTTTTACACAGTGCAGCAGGATTAGTTGAAGATGTGAGTAAAAGTTTTTATCTCCTAATTTTCCTATTATCTAAGCCAGCTTTTCTAACGAATCGAAGCTTTGGATTGTGCTACGTGGGGATGTATTTCTCATCTTCCCCAGATCCTTGGAATCTGTTGGCTAGTTTCACTCATGATTGATCAAGGAAATGAGAGCTGAAAAGTATGTCATTAAACGTCCAGTGAAGACAGACCCACAACAGAAGAGTGTTATTAATGGCCTTCATAAAGGAGAGGCTGAAGAAAGCATTCCATCCTTTCCTGACAATAGACTATCCCAGCTAAGCATTCAGTCTTAAACCCATTCAGACTTAAACCCTTTACCCAAGCAGCATTGCTGTTCACCTAGAATGGTTTGGGTTGGAAGGGACCTTGCAGCCTAACCATGGGCAGGGCCACCATTCACTAACTCACATTGCTCACAGCCCTGTGGAACCTGACTTCAAACGTGTCCAGCGGTGGGCCATCCACACCTCTGGATCCAGCATCTCCCCCCCCTCAAAGCTGTGATCGGTGCATGCTGCTTTGAAGGATGACAGAAGTTAGCAACACCAGAAACACTTGCAAATATCTGATCTCCTTTGATGGGCTCCTTTAATTTTGTGGTTAATTTTTATTTTAAAGGTAATAGAAGAATTGCAGACTGCACCAGTGAATCACGAAGAAAAAGAGCTGCTTCAGTTGCTGTCAACACCGCATCTCAGGGTAAAAACCCACCAGAGACCTCCATCTGATCAAATGTTTTCTATTTGGAGAAATGACATTGCAGAGTCCCCAAGAGAAAGGAAAAAACCTCCTGCAGGCTGTAGTTCTATTCCACTGTGACTTGTTGCAGAGGCTTTAGGATGCAAAGGGGATTGAGAAGACACAGGGTAGGCCCTTCATGCATAATGCACGTAACTGTCTTCCCTCCTCCCCTTAATATTTCTGAGGGAGCAGAAAAGCAGAGGATACCGCTTCTCAACCTCTGTTCTGTGAGCTTAGTTATGAGTTGTTATTGCCCAGATTTGCTTCAAATATCAACATACACCAAAATCTAGTTCACATGATGGGTAAGATAATTGCTACATCTTTTTTTGTGTTTGTGTTTATGGTGGGAGTGGGAAGGGGGAAGATTAACTTTGCGGTAATGTTGGGAACAGGAGAACTGGAAACTGCAATATGACCCCTTTACATTACTGTTTCTTATTTCCTTTATGCAGGCAATGCTTTTAGTACATGACACCGTAGCACAGAAGAACTTTGACCCTGTCCTTCCACCTCTGCCTGATAACTTTGATGATGATTTTGATGAGGAATCGGTGAAAATTGTTCGCCTAGTGAAAAACCAAGAACCCTTGGTATATATAACATAACCTAGCTCTAGTCATAGAGCTCTGTTGTGCAAAAGCGTTGCTGTGAGTATGGAAGAGATCCTTGAAGATGATGCCAAATAGCCTGCTTTATTTCAGGGAGCTACCATCAGAAGAGATGAGCACACAGGAGCTGTGATTGTCGCCAGGATCATGCGAGGAGGTGCAGCTGATCGCAGCGGTAAATTGCTGAACAAAAGGGGACTGAAAATTGCATTTGTAAAGATTTTTAACATTTTCAAGCTTTTGCATGACACATGTACCATATGCACATAGCCAGCACGATAATCTCTTGCTAAATCTGCATGAAAACAAAATGCCATGTGGAATAAGGGCAAGAGACTTCAGAACGTGTTGCAAATGAGGCACTTAGCTCTAATAGGAAACCCATTAAGCTGGGGAAGGGAGGAGAGGAGGTACATGCTGTTGCCTTAGACTGGACATCAGAGGAGTGGTGCTTTCCATTCTGTAGACTTATTTTAATTTACCAACCATCTTTTCAGGTCTTGTCCATGTTGGAGATGAACTAAGAGAAGTCAATGGTATTACTGTGCTTCACAAACGACCGGAAGAAATAAGTCAGATTTTGGTCTGCACTGATTTTCATTTCAAGACCTTTTGTGTTGGGGTGCTGTAGTAATTACAATAGGCAATGGAATTTAAGCAAGAGTTTAAAGTATGTATAGAGCTAAAAGATGCAATCCCTGCTTGTCTTTTGTGTTAAGTTTTTCTTTTCCCGGTATATTAGTCTTTTCCTTTTGACTTCAGAAATGTGTCATGCTAAAAGTCACAGCATGCCCTGTGAACTGTAATCCAGAAATTAATGCAGGTCCGAATGTGTTCTAGCCGAGTAGTTACTGTGGATGTCTCCACGTGAAGGATTTGTGGGACATCGCAGTAGTCTCTGTAGTGAAGTTAAAGAGTGGATTATGTTGGCCAGTCTAATTTCTGACAAGAAGAGAAAGATGCTAGCTCTAAACTGGAACTTGAATAGTCTGATTTGTGTCCTCGTGCTACTTTCAGAATAATAAAAGCCATTTCCCTCTTTTTCAGGCTCAGTCTCAGGGATCAATAACACTAAAAATAATTCCAGCCATCAAAGAAGAAGATCGTCTAAAAGACAGCAAGGTACCCAGCGTAGTGAAATACTGAGGCATGCCTTTCCATATTCACACGCTTCTGGCACCTCTGTAAATGCAGGATTCCTGCTGTTTCAGTGAGGAGTGTCACAGACACGTGGTTGAACGAAAAAGATAGTAGAGCAGTTCCTTGTTGTAAAATGCAGTGCCCTTTTATTCAGTGGAATTACTCAGATGACTTCTCTCCATCACCTGGGCACATGTTCTATCCATTGCATGTCTGAGATCCAGCCCCTTGGTTTTGTTCGTGTGATCAAAATTGGTGTTTTAGAGAGCTGCTCTCTGCCCATTACCTCTGGGCATGTTGCTGCTTGCTTGAGTCGAAACAGACCTACCTGCAGACCTAGCTGCACGTTCCCCCTCCCGCTGCAAACATCAACACACACCTGACTGCTTCATTTGCCCTCCTTGATCAGCAATGACTTCTTGCTCAACCTTACAGGATTGCTCTGTCAGTCTCCATTTCTACTTCTCTGCTCTCAGTTGCTGATATTTTCCTTGAAGCCATATATGTTCCAGAATGCCAGTACAAAATGACTGGGCATGTGCTTGAAAATTAGGTTCTTTTTCTGCACAAGAGAGTAGGTCCAAATGCAGATGCAGCTTGGTAGATTTCGGTGGTTTTGAGTACCATAAAGCATACAGGAGAGATGAAGAGTAAATGTAGTTAGTAATGTAAGCACTAGGTAAGCTTTTAAAGGCAGCTTTCTCCAAACCAGGACAATGTGTTGCTTTCTTTTAAAGGTGTTCATGAGGGCACTTTTCTGCTATAATCCCAATGAAGACAGAGCTATTCCTTGCCAGGAGGCTGGGCTGCCATTTAAGAGAAGACACGTCCTAGAAGTTGTAAGCCAAGATGATCCCACGTGGTGGCAAGCAAAGCGTGTTGGCGATACCAACCTGAGAGCAGGCTTGATCCCCTCAAAACAGTTCCAAGAAAGGTTTGTTCATGAAGATTACAAATGGTGTCACACTGATTTGCTGCTGCTGCTTTTTTTCCACGGGACACAAAAGGCAGGATCATGCCAGGGGGAATAGCAGAGGCTTAGAGGAAAGTGCTAAAAAGCTCCATCTTCTCCACCTGCATAATAAACTTCCTAGCTTTCCTCACGTAGGTTGCCATTGACTTACGCTTTGTAGGATGAAGACAGAAGCACCTGCTAAACAAACATATATGGAATGAAATGTGGAATAGCAGTCTCTGACTCTCTTGGTTTTTGAAGACACTGTATTTCAGACTCGTACTTTCACAGAATGGTTAAGGTTGGAAAGGACCTTTAGGATCGTCCAGTTCCAATCCTCCTGCCATGGGCAGGGACACCTTCCCCTAAATCAGGTTGTTCAAAGTCCTGTCCAGACAGGAATTTTGCCCATCCTTTATAAGCATGGCAACTAGGGGTTGGACTCTCAACAAGAATGGAATGGAATAGTGGGGGGTTTAATCTGCCAAAAGAGATTGGGTTGGGGAGAAGGGAATAGAAAAAGAGTGCCATTGCTAAAAGTAACATGCTGTTGATTTCTGTGCTCTGAGGCATGAAAGTGTTTTAGAATCTTCTCTCTCAGGCATGGGTTTAAAACCAAAAGTCTTTTAAAATGTTGAATCAGAGACATTTTATATTTTGACAGGAAAAGCACTATTTGGTTCGCTATTTTCACTGCTCTAGGTAGAAGATGCTATAAATTCTTCATCATTCTGAGCTTATGTGACTAAAATGGAATTCTCTTCTCTTTAGACGACTGATTTACAGAAGAACAATAGGCACCCTGCCCAATCCGAGGACTGTGAAGAAACCAGTATGTAAGTCTGTCCTTGAGTGATGTCTTAGTCGATACCAACCTCTCAGTATTTCTCTGCTATTTTAGTAATGATATGTTTGAATGCATCTTGCGTAATCTGCCATGGATTCCATGCAGGGATAGAAGCTGCTACTTGAGAGGATTTGGGTTTGAGCTTTATTCAGTGTTGCTAGCGCCTGTTGTTTTCACAAAACACAGCTGTCCATCTCTTCCTCCTTTCAGGACCATGAGGCCTTACACATTGGTTAGATGCTTTAAAATTTGCCAGTGTTCAAGTGTTTTCTATGGTTTGAAACTTGAAGGCTGCAAAAGCAACCCAATGCATGAGCTGACTGTGAGCTCATAGGAAAATAAAGTGTAGCTTTAAGGCAGATGAAAACCACTGGAGCATTTCAGCCTTAGTGTAACAGAGCTGGTCTTAAGTAGGCTTTAAAGTGATTCTTGTTTATAGCTCTCAACCATCTGTCAGCGAATAAATAGCACAACAATGCTGCTTGTGATGGAATTACTAGTCAGTGATGGAAGGCAGAAGACATTTGGGATTATCCCAGCACATAATGTTCATGTTGCTCTTGGGTATTTCAGCATGGCTATTATTGATGGGTGGGGAAACCCTGTGACTCCCTGAAGCCAGATATTGTGCTAGGAATACCATGTAGACTAGGAATATGGAAATTGTCCCTCCTCAGTAATAGAAGTGACTTTCTGTTCACTTAGATGTGCCATACATGGCACTTCTTGTGAGAAAATACAGGTATTCTTATGCTACAATGAGGGACGATGCTCAACCAAGCATCAAAATAGCATTACTGATTTAAATGAAGCTTTTCCAAATGATTTTCCATTGCATTCAGTGTTAGGAAGCATGCAGTGAGGACTGCTACTTAGGCTGTTTCTCAGACACTTGCAAGACAATGAAGCTGATAGCTGGTTATAATACTGAATTTTAGTACAAAAGTCTTCAGTGGATAAGGGTACATCACTGCATTTCTTTTGAGACAGAAAAGCCCATTAAGCAAATCATTCCTTCTAATTTTATTCAATCATTTGCCAGTCTTTTAATATCATCCCAACTCTGCCTTTCATGCTAACTACAGATGATCAGTCTTCTGATAAAGGTAGGTACTCTCCTAACTCATTTTCTCTACGAATATAAATGACCAGTGCATTTTCTAAGACACTCAGTAAGCAAAGGGAATAGTGGATAGAGCTTGTTCCAACAGCAGTTTCTTCCTGAGTTAATACTTCATTTAGTTTGGATTGATGACCGAGGTAATGGTAACTTCCAAACATACTTCTGATTGGAGAGAAAAGATTTGTGTCTTCTGATATGCATTTGCACATTCTGGGTTTCCGAGTGAGGTTGAAAGAGTTGCAACTTAAATGCAGCCTTTGTGTTGCTATATTTTTAAAAGAATAAGGAAATACTGGAGTTGAACACTTCTGAGCACCTGTATCAATCCAAATTGGTTTTTCTTCGCTGTTCGTTTGGACTGTGTTATTTCATTATAAGCAACTGCTTTCAGAACTGTGTTATTTTCATTGTAAGCATTTCATTTATTGTTTTTTCTGTGTTGTTTTCATGATGAACCTCTGTGTTGGGCTCAGGCATTTTATCACCTTTCCAAATAGCAAGCATTTTCAATTGAATTCTGCGCGCTGTGATTTCTTTCACGCTCCACCTGCTTCTTGAGAGTAATACTCCCAAGTAACAGCTCTGATCTTAGCTCTGGAGAGCTGTATATTGCTACTAGTGTCTGCTGTTAGCGTTGGCATTGCTTGATCGCACACCTGTGTGCAATGACCTGGCTTGGTGCATTTAGTTACAGGTTTAAACTGCACATATATTTGCCTGTGGCTCCTCCTTACAATGAGTAGAGAGAGCTCTGGGGATATTAGAGCACACAGGTGCCTGTATTTTAACAAGACAGGCAGCCCCCTTTCAGGAAGTAGCAGAACTTGGTATTTGGTTGGTTGCAATATAGTGTTTTGCAGCTAAGGAGCATGTTCTATTTGGCATGTTTTAGGGGCCCTGCAGGTGGTTGTAGCTTGAGGAGGGGTAGGTTGGCTTTTTCCTTAACATCGATTTGCATCTTATTTTACATCCATGCACATGACAAAAGCATCAAAGCTTTACCTTTGAAATAAAGCATTAATGCGCAGTGGTAATTTACCTTCGTCAAGATGGAAGGTGTTCAGAGCTCGTATTTCAGTCATCTCTGCTTCCCCCTTTTTAAGCTCCAATGAGATTAAAATGTCGCTATTCTTGCACAATCATACCCATTTAGAAAGTCATACCTGAAAGAAAAAAGCTTTGTGTGTGGACTCTTCTTTTTCACTCAAGTCTGAATACTCCTGTAGCAGCAGCACTGATCAAACAGAATGAATATTGAAGAGAATACCATAAATAACAAGGTGTAATTTTGTGTAATATTGACATCAAGGATGTTTTTCACATACAAGCCATGAGCCAAGGCAATTTATTATCATTAATATCGGTGTAGGAAAAGTGTGTGCATATAACGCAGGATAGAAACCTTCTCCTTCCCTCAGCAAGAAGGCAGGCTCGTATCGCAGGCACTGGTTAAGGTATCTCACTCTCCTTTTTTACCTCCCCCTCCCCTGCTTTTTCATTGACAGAAGACTGTGACTGCGAAGGATATTTCAATGGCCAGTACATAGGTGAGAAACCAGAATCCCTTTTTCCTCTCCTTCCTTTTTCCCTGCATCGCCCCTGCCCCCGTAAAGGAAAGATAAAAGAAAAGAGCACATGGTAAAATAACCTCTGGGTTATTTACATGAGAGTCAGTTGCCCAGATGTTCATAAACTAGATTAGCTCTGTGCAGACTGGACTGTGCATAGCCAACAATTGGCAAATCAAAGTGGTATGAAGGGGGTTTTATTATAGATGGAGTGCTTGGTTTTCTACCTGCTATGCATATTTTTCGTCTCTATAATTAGCACATAGGCACTGATGTGATTATTTTAAGAAACTCATTCAAAGACAGAGTAACTTCTGGCTGAACAAGCTTGAAAAGTGGAGACATGGTTCTTCAAGGATGCTGGCGAGGGACTCTTCATCAGGCACCACAGCGACAGGACAAGGGATGATGGGTTTAAAGTGAAACAGGGGAAGTTTAGGTTAGATCTAAGGAAGAAGTTCTTCCCTGTGAGGCTGGTGAGGTACTGGAAGAGGGTCCCCAAAGAAGTGGTAAATGCTCCATCCCTGGCAGTGTTCAAGGCCAGGTTGGACAGACCCTTGGGCGACATGGTCTAGTGTGAGGCATCCCTGCCCATGGCAGGGGGTTGGAACTGGGTGATCTTAAGGTCCTTTGCAACCCAAACCAGTCTATGATTCTATGGTTGAAGATACCTTTTGTTTTTCTCTACAGCTGGCTTACGCAGGAGCTTTAGATTAAGTCGTAAAGAGAAGGAGAACAATGTGAATGAAGGAAAGCAAGCAGAGCAGACAGACACAGCAGAGTTCCTGACTTATGAAGAGGTCACAAAATACCAGCAGCAGCCTGGTGAACAGCAGAGGCTGGTGGTTTTGATTGGTAAGATGCAGAATTGAGTCAAAATCTTTCATATATCTCCCTTTTCCCTTCTAAGAGGAACCCAAAACTAAACACCTAAAGGTTTGTGTTTAGTTTGAGGTTTCTGATGGGAGGTTGTTTTGAGGCTTTTCTGGTTTTGGTCAGAAGTTCTTTTCTTTTAAATGATATTAAAAAAGCCCACAAAAACCGCTGAGCAAAAAAGGCAAAACTCAACCACACTCACTAAATCTTCCTAAAATAATGATGCTCATTTTTGTGACTCATTTTCTATTGGTTCTCACCCAAACATGTGCATGCTTACGCTAGAAATCAAGGGTATCTCCTTAAACCGACTGCTAAGATTACAGCTTCCCTGATTTGGTGCCTGCCAAGTGTTTGTCCAACACTTGTTCAAGGGGGTTCAGTTTGTTTCTTGTATTCTTAAAGCAGAATGTGGCCGCTCATGAGGTCTCTCATGCACAGGTTTCTTCAAGCATGCTGCTGCATCAAACTGTTTGTGTGAGATCGATCGATCTTGTTCTCTTTGCAGTATTTCATTCCACACAGGAACGTGTCAGTCACTTCTATTTTGTTAGGTTGCCTGGGGGCCAGATTAAGTGAACTCAAGCAGAAGGTCGTGTCAGAGAACCCGCAGGAGTATGGTGTGGCAGTTCCACGTGAGTAACATTGACTGGCTTTTGTGTGTCACTGCTTTATTCCATAGGTTCATTGGAATTCTGTCAGCTCAGTTGTTATTTTGTGGGTGTTTTCCCAAGTGAACAGATTGCATTTTTTTGTAGCGTCCGTTAAAAGAATTAGAAACTGAATACAGGAAGAAAAAAAGATTGTAAATTGCAAAAAGAACTCATTTGGAAGACTGGTAACTTAAGATTCAGCCCAAACAGTCCGTGTCTTTAAAAGAGGATGGTTTTTCTTTAGCATATCACACCAGCTAAACTTTACAGAGAGGGGGAAAAGGGAAGGCGGGGAGTAGACAGCAATAACCCATGTCAGAAGTTCTACAAGATTTGCAGTTGTTGCTCAGTATATGTAGGCTAAGAAGCCAATCACAGTGGGAGAGAAAGCAGTGATCCTGCTCTGGAGTTTTGTGGCCAGGCTTACACAAATAATCCATCAATCTTTGTGTCCCACATCGAAAAATTCACCTTGAGGGCACTGTTTCCATGTCACTCCAGACATTTCAATAGCTGTCTGCCAGGCAGGCAGGCAGTGGTAGAGCTCAGGGATAATGGTTAGCTGTATTTAAATAGGTACACAAAAAAATAGCAGACCTCACTTTTATGGCCAGGCAGAGGTGCGTGGAATGCTCCCCAAAGCTTTTCCTGCTCCAGTTATTGAAAGAAATGACATCAAAAGGGAAGGGACACACAGAATTCTGCAAGTTCCACAGTCATGTGGGAAAGAGGCACTCGAAATTCAGAGGCAGGATAATAGAACTTCATGTATTTCCTCTTTTTATTGTCCAAGTTTCAAAGGAAATGAGTCCAATATTCCAAAGAGTTAAGAGGTACTGTTCACTATAGGTTACACTCTGCTGCTTCTACCAGGTTAAGACGTGTGCCTCCTAATTTTGTGTTAGTTGTAACATGCTTGGGAGCAAAGCAGCTTCATTTTTGGTCTTAGAATTTGATTCATATTTTATGTTAACTTGCATTTGCCAGCGTGCAGCTGCCTTGTTTGTGGTCATGAAAATACGACTGGAACTAAACCAGAGAAGATACAGCTGTTGGCAAAGGCTGACCTGTCTCCCATGTCTCGCTTCCATTCTCTTCTAGATACAACCAGGTCAAAGAAAAGTCATGAGAAAGAGGGAGTAGAATACAATTTTGTCTCTAAGCAATCCTTTGAGACAGATGTGCAGCAAAACAAGTGAGTTAACTTTAAAAAACTGGCATAATTGACTGTATTTCAAACCCATTGCTAGTGAAATATTACATCATGTGAATACCTACATCAGGTGTAAAGTTGGACTTCACTGCATTAGGAGGGTTCAGCTTTCCAAGTAAAAAGCTCTTTGTTCAGTCTGGACTTAGCGTTAACTTAGAAATGTAGTAAAAAGCAATTCAGAAATAACAGAGGACAAGTTCAGCTCTGGGCCCCTCACTACAAGAGAGACATTGAGGTGCTGGTGTGGGTCCAAAGAAGGGCAACGGAGCTGGTGCAGGGCCTGGAGCACAAGTGTGATGGGGAACGGCTGAGGGGCCTGGGGGGGGTTTAGTATGGGGAAGAGAAGGCTCAGGGGGTCCTTATTGCTCTCTACAACTGCCTGACAGGAGGATGGAGTGGGGTGGGGTCAGTCTGTTCTCCCCAGTAACAGGTGACAGGACAAGAGGAACCGGCCTCAAGCTGCACCAGGGCAGGTTTAGATGGAGCTGAGGAACAATTCCTTCCCCAAAGGGTGCTCAGGCATTGGAACAGGCTGCCCAGGGCAGGGCTGCAGTCACCATCCCTGCAAGTGTTCACACACCCTCAGTGCCATGGGTTAGTGGTGGCCTTGGCAGTGGTGGAGTAAACGTTGGACTTACTTAATGACATTGAGGATCTTTTCCAACCTCGTTCATTCTATGATTCTAAGTAGGAGGATCATAAGTTAGAATTTAAGCCTGCATATCCTAAGTAGTATTGGTCAGAATTGAATCTAGTGGAGGTAGCATACACTTAGCTGGGCTTACTTGGAACCCATTGTACTGAATGGAGATAAAGTTTTATTCCTAAGTCCACTTTAAAGCATCTTGTAGGCTGAATCTGTAGTATGAAGGACTTTCTGTAAGATTGAGTGTTTCCTGAAAGTACAGATTCTTTTGGCTTCCATCTTCTGGCTTTCCAGAAGATGGAAAAATTGGAGTCCATTTCCTTGCCAGCTTTGTTCTGTTTTCTATGGGAAACATCCTCTTTCTTCTATTAGGCTTGAACATCAGTGAACTAAAGTAATGCAGGTTCTTCCCGTATCTGTCAGCAGTGCTGATAAGCTCTCAATGACATGGGAAGACTATTGCTACTAAGCAACCACAGAAAGAAAACACACACTACCCCCCCCCCCCATTTGACTACTGTGACTTCAGGAAACAGCTGTTATCTAATGTTTAAGTTCAGTATTTGTTGTGGATGCTATTTAAAAATGTATTGCCTTTTTAGATTTGTGGAACATGGAGAATACAAGGAAAATCTGTATGGTACCAGTCTTGAGGCAATCCGGTCCGTGATGGCCAAAAAGAAGGTTTGTTTGGTGGATGTGGTACCTGAAGTAAGTTCTACAGCTTATTTTAAAGAAAGCAAGCATTTCTTAGTAGGCTGCAAGCTTGAGTAACTGATGCTGGTCACTATCTGTGGCTACTTGCCCTGCAAAGAACAATGATGCTCTTGGGACTTGTGTTTCTAACACGTGGCCTGGTTGCTAGCGAAGTGGAATAGGGCTCTTGAGAAAGAGCAGTGCAGGGTTTCCAGCTCTTAAATGCCCATTGCTATAGCCTTGATGACACTTTTCAATAAAGTAAGTTCTCGCTGTGGGATTTTTCCCTTGCTGTAGGAGAAATGTGCATCACCTCCTAACCTGTTCCAAGTCCTAGAGAAAATACTGAGAGCATGGATAAGTATTTTGTTCTTGTTCATCCCTACCGCCTCAGAAGCATTACTGGGGTTGTAAGCAGTGCCAGTGTACCTACTCTTAATCCTTCCATACTGGGAGTTAATCTTTGACATTTTGATTCAGATTTTGTGCTCCAGGAAACATATGTACTCCTGTAAGCTAGGCAGGACGCTGACATTAGCCTGTCTTTAGAAGAGGCAAAGATCATTGTGCTCAGCTGTATAGGACACAGGACTTTGCAGTGTGTACCAGTGAAACTGTTGAACCCAGTTTGAGTAGGCTTTGACAGATAACAGAAAACATCTGATAACAAAAGGTATCTGTTCACAGGCAGTAAAGCACTTGAGGACTCCTGAGTTTAAGCCTTATGTTATCTTTGTGAAGCCTCTTGTTCCAGAAAAGAAGAAACATGTCCTAAAGTCTCCCATGTCAGAAGAAATCTCAGTTCCTCTTGTAAGTATTCCAACTTTCATCTCTTCTTTCTAGATATGAAAGAAGTATTTGAGCTAGCATGTGTCTGATGTGGAAGGCCTCCTCTTCTGCGAGAGTGAGAGTGGGGCACTAAGTGGGTCTTAAGATGGACCTTAGAATGAGATATTTGACTCCCTTGTAACTTAACTATAAGCAACATGAAGCAAAGCATCCACATGGATTTGTGTACATCAGTCTGGGCTGCAGCAGGAGAAGCTGCTACTGAACTCAGGTAAACTAAGAATCATTTTACATTTCTGATGAGCAGTCCCATCAAATGGTAAGGGCAGCCACCTACTCCCAACACCTCCAGAGTGACCCTGTGTATCAGGTGCACTCAAAGTGCAGTGTATGGATGTCTTACAAGGACCAAACCGAGCCTGACTGCAAACTGGTGCTGTGTAAATGGGAACAAAAATACTGGAAGTGTGTAATGTCATTACTTTGGGTAATTAAAAAGACATGCTCGAAATTTCATACCATCTTCTCATGTTGATTAGCAGGATGAAGAACAGCAGGAAATTATTAATTCAGCAGCATTCATTGAAGAGCAGTATGGCCATTTAATTGACACTGTACTGGTGAAAGAAGATCTCCAGAGCGCTTGTAATCAGCTGAAAACTGTGTTAGAGAAACTAAACAAGGATTCATTTTGGGTGCCAGTCAACTGGGTTAGGTCATAGCTTGTTATCATCTGTTTAAGGCAAAGACACTATAAAAATGTCTTGTAAATACATGGATTAGAAAAGGGGACTATGTCAAATTCACCTCAAAACTGCTGGTCTGTCTAGAAGTTAATACATATAGACTGTATCGGGAAGAACTCAAAGTCAGAAGCAGACACTGCCTTCCTAAATGAGAATCTTGCATAACAGATGCTAACACTCAGCCTGAACAGTGCAGTAAAATATTGGAGTGACTTTTAGACTGTAAATAGTGCATTTTGTACAGTGAAGTTTCACCGAGGGCCCTACACTTCCAAACCATTTAAGCAGTGCTAGGGCACCAACCAGTGGAATCTTCAGCCTTTGGACACAAATTCTGTAGCAAGAGTTAAGATACTTTTCAGGAACCACTACGCCTACAGAACACAGTGCTTCAGGGATGGAGGGATGTCCTTTGGAGAGTGCTTACACAGTTACTGGTCACTCAGAAGTTCAATTGGCTGTCAGGCCAGCAGAAAATGCTTCCCTTCACTCAGGATCATTAATTGCAAATCCTCTCCCATTAGGCATTAAAACTAGGCCAGTTCTACAAGTTGTAGGTATCCTAGTGCCTGGGGGGGGTTATGTCAATCCCACATTGCCTCCAAGTTGTCTTGCACAGGTATGCTCATCCCAGTCTCTTCCTACTGCCACAGGACAAATGTTAAAACAACCTGTGAACACCCCTGTGTGACTGGGCAGCTCATAACCCAGAGACATTTTTTAGTCTACATGAGAATAACTGCATGTGACTTAAAACAGGACTTTTAAGAAGCCTATTTTCTACAAGACATCTTTGCAGATGCCACCTGATGGGATACCACCTTGACAACAACATAGCAGCTCCAAAAAGGGCAATATAAGGAGGCTGAAGTACAAAGTAAATGAGCAACTGGCCCAAATCATCATACTTCCAGCATTTATGACTGTTCCAAATCAATTAAAGACGTCTAGTTGGCTCCATCAAGTCCTGAAGAAGAAATCTTAATCGTGAAGAGGACTTTGTCTATATTTCAGGAGATTTGAATATACAGCATTTTTAGATGGGTGTTAAGAAAAGGCAGAGAGATGATTCTGGAAGCACCTAAGCTTTATTTGAAAACTGGATATTGTACAGGTATGTGTTAGTTGAAACTAGTTCCTGTTTTCCACTGCCTGCTGAGATCTAACCTTTCCCGTGTACCATGCCCCTTAACAAAACCTTTTGGTGCACCAGTCTCTTTCCTTGCATCTTAACAGTATGCTGTTATTCTTGTTCCACTGCATTTAGCAAAACCAACAATGTTGCATATTAAAAGCACTTTTCTTACATACCAGTCTTGCTGAATCTACATTAATCCTAGCCCAAGCAGTTGTGTAGAACAGTCACCAGTATCCATCTTCTCCAGATGCATACCCTGGCCCCTTTGATGCACTGAGGTTGCCATTGCTACAAGAACAAGCACTTCTCACAATCAGATACCTGCTCTGGCTCGACAGCACACAGCTGGTGTCAGACTGGTAGCCTCAGCAAATGCACAAGAACTCCTTCACATGGGGGTGACCCATCACTCCTGCTATTCCCTCTCTCCAGCCCTATAATGTGGCTGACAAGAGAGACACTGTCAAGTATATGACAAATGTACCTTTATCCTGTGAAAAACTGAGGGTAATATTTTATTTAAATAGCAGCACTTCAAACTAAGTGGTTTGATGAAACTATGAAATGGACAGATTGATCTCACTGTACATCTGTATTGCAGATTACAAGCATTTTTTTTATAGTCTGCAAGAAAAACATGTTGTTTAGAGGATACAGATTTAATTTAAAGAACACCAAGTAAGATACTGTCTAGGGGTCAGAATTCACTAATAGCAAGGTTGCTTCTAACATCTTAGAATATTCCAAATGACTAGCAGTAAAGAAGTTAATTTGTATGCTTTATGATCTAACATAGTCAAGTAATAGAAATCTGCATTGAGAGAAGTGAGGCAAATGACATACGGTGCTACACCTGAAGTTACAATACCTGAAAAGATATTAAAATACAGCATTGCTATTAAAAGTGAACTGAAATACTCGTTGTTAGTTTTTTAAGTGTATGCAGATAAGCTGTGTGGATGTACAAAGGCAGGTACTAACTCAAGATAGTGGCAGAAACACTGGTTTTGTTAATGAGGTTTGAAATAAAGGATGGCAAGAGGCTCTGTATTACATGCAAAAGATTGCAGGTAACTAAGATGAGCTTCAGTTGTAGGCAGAGGAAGAGAACACATTCAATGCTCCTATTTATTCTAAAGTGCTAGGAAGAAGGTACATGCAGATGATTGTTCGGAAGACATGATTCCAGTCTTGCCAATGCTGAGTCCCTGCTGCATTAGCCATGCCTGGTAAGGAGAAAAAACCTTGAGAAGAGATTTTTGAAGACAGTCTGAATGCAAATTTACTTTAATCCCAAGACGTTGGCAGTAGTGCCTAAGGTCTAAGTCAAAGTACTTGAACTCCTCTCCCTGTCTTGCCCACACCTAAAATGTACATAGTCTTTCATAATTCTTTTTTATGGTTTGTAGTATTGAAGGATGAGTCTTGGTTAACATCTACAGGGGTCTTCCTGTATCTGAAACTGATACAGGCTGTATCTGAAACTGCAGTTTTTCTGTTCTAACTTGACATCGTATATTGAACTGGGGACGTGTAGCAATTTAAACTGCTTAAAGCCATGTGAAATAGGGAAACAATGCTCAGGGTGGCTCCTGTTAACTACATTTAAGGGAACTTGGGTGCCTAAAAGACTCCCATACCATTCTGGGAAAGGAAAGCTTTTCAATAATCCTCCAAAATGGAATACTACCTTACTTTATGGCAAGGCAGGAATTTCAGAAAGAGTCCATGTTGAATGCCATCCAGCAAGAGCACAATACTCTTAAGAACTGTGACTTCATAGTGAAAAACCTGATAGTTACCAGAAAAATACCTGGAGATCTCAGTTGTGCAGCAGGGAAAGAGAAAGGGCATTTTGTTAACAAAGAGTATTTTGCTCATCAGTTTGGGGTTTGGATCCACTCAGCTGGTGACAGGTCAAACAAGGCACAAACTAGTGCTTGGAACCACTGCTCCCACCCTGCTTTAACAAGAAAATCCCTTCCTTGAGGCAGAACAGCCACCTGTGAAGTTAAGCAAGTGGACAGTACGCAGCACAAAAGCTTTTATCCCGCTGTGCTGAGGATCCTGTCAGCTGCATTCGCTGCTTCTCCGCATTCCTACCCCAAACATCTGGGGTCTGCAGGATCTTTATGGCCAGTTCCTCAAAGGCATGTTGCACCCCATCCTGTGTCTTGGCACTGGTCTCTAGTTGAGGGGGAAGAAAACAAAAATGAGGAGAATTCCACTTTGTAAGAAGGTCTTTTGGGACCAGAGAAAAGAGGGTTTTTAATGATTGAACCTTCTCTCCATTCTCTCTTAAAGGCACACTTAAATTGAAGGTGACAAACAGAAATGCATCCCAGTCTGAAGCACCACATGAAAACAATTCCACAGCTCCACTTTCTCTCCATAATGGAGAAACAGAAATTGTTCTAAGCTTGTGATAGTAAATCTACAAGACAATTACTCCCTAACTAGACCAGGAAACAAAGATTGCAGGAGGAGTTGCATGTTTTCCCCATGGCATTTCAGTTGCTTCTGGAAATATTTTCAAGCTTCACTTCACACTTAGCAATACCAAACTAAACAGCAGTGTGCAAGGGTTTGGCAGAGAGCTACATACCTATAAAAAGCAGGGAGCGTTTCCTAGCAAACTGGAGTCCTTCTCTTCTCTCTACTTCACGATCAGGCTGCAGAGATGAAGAACATGACTAAAATAAGCCACACCTGCCACTTTTAGGAAGTCCCTGGAAGAGCACCGCTGGAGAAGGGAGGCTTTGTTGAAAGGAAAAGTCTCTAAACCCATGTAATAATCACAATCTTCCCACTCTACAGACAGCTTACTGCTAGGCAGGCTGTTAGGGGTTCAAACTGAACAGCAGCAACATCACATCAGTTGGAAATTAATGTGTTGCTATCTTCTCAATCAACTAGCAGGAAAATACTTGCCAGAAAGAGGCATATTAGATCTGAGAACTGGCAGATGTGGAAGGGGGAAGAAGGGAACCTAGTTCAGGATACCACACAGGAAGCCTCTTGTAGTAGTAAAGCAAAAGTGAAACATCTCATTATGTAACAGACACCTAAGTTATGTCAAAACACCCAAGAAACATGCAGCAACCAGTGCACCTCACACCTACAGAGATAAATACAGCCATCTGAAGAGCTGAATTCTCCTTCCCCACCACCTGTCCAAACCAGAGCCTGGTCAAAAAGAAAGCAGCAGTTGGGTTGCTTGTTGTGCTGCAGTTACATTCAGTGTGATACAGCAGTTCTTAGGTAGAACCTCACACTTTCTTAACAGAATCTCTCATCAACTGCATCTCCCCAGGTGATTTTCCTTCAAATCTTTTAAGATTTGCTTCTAAAACGACACAGTAAGTGGAGTCTGCCCAACCTAGCTCCCTCATTTATAGCAGCATCACCTCCTAACACAACAGGTTTGTTAGTTTCAGCACTTATCTCACATTTATACTCTATAATGACTGAGTGCAAGTGGAAGAGTGCAAGAGAGCAAGCAAAAGCATTTTTAAACTGACCTTATCAGTTTTATTGCCAACTAACATCTTCACGGTGCTGTTTTTGGACGTATATACTTCCAGCTCATTCAGCCAGCTGTCTAGTCCTGTGAATGTGTCTTTTCTTGTAACATCATACACTGGTAACAGAGGAGAAGGAGCTTAACTGCTGTAGAATCCTGGTATTATTTTTTTACTTGATTACAGCAGAACTTAGCCCCTCCTAGCTAACTAGCGCCCCCCAAAAGCAGTATTAAGGAATTCCAGAAGATGCATCAATCATACCCTCTTCCCAGAGCTGGAACACATTGGAACAACATCACTAAGGATTTAAGAACACGAGCATTTCTGCAATAGATCTGTGACTGGAAATCACACTTACCAGTTGTCATCTTATACATGTTACTAGTTCTGAACTGGGCCACAAATGCTTTAAAATAGGTATTTTGTCACCTCATTTCCTGTGTCATTACAGGCATTGCACTACTGCTAAAAACACATATTCGGAGTAAAAAGTAACTTTTGGTCACTGGTAACTGCACTGATTTGATCACTAAGGTTTAAAAAGCTGTACCCCAGTTGGAAAGAATATTTTGTAGAGCAAGGTCTTCAGCCTTCCCAAAACCAGAGAATAAGAATCCCTTCTTTTCCTGAACGGTGCTGTTGCTCAGAAGGGACTGACTAGGCATCCATTACTTGTGCTACAAACCTCATGCCTTACAATCACATCAATAGTTTCAGGGGGGTAAAACCAACACAAACCCCAATGTACCTGATTAGAAGAAACTCCCTGAAGCAGGAAGTACAAAGCTGATAACTCACCCAGGCTGCAATGTGCCATCTCTGTATTTTAAAGTGTTTCGAAGCAGCATTACTTCCTGCCAGTGGTTTTGCATGCTGTGTTTGTGTTAATGATGTAGTGATGTGGTAAAAGCCACAATCACAAGCGTTCCTCTGACTCTCAACCAACCTCTTTTTGCAAAGATATGCACATACGTAGTAATAAAGACCACGCTTTTTGCAATCATGTTTTATTTCCATATACCTCCTACCTAAAACAACCCCTTGAGCTCCTCGGTAATAACTGGCAGTCAGTGTTCTAAAGCGCTCCTGTCCTGCTGTGTCCTACAGGGGGAAAAAGGAAAATAAAAAAGACACCACCACACACAAAACCAAATATATTTACAACAAAAAAGGTATTTTAAACTACTCAAGATATACAAAGTTAATTTTATCCTCAGCAAAAAGGATAACCATAAGACAACAGAGAGAGGGAAGCAGACAGGAAACAGCAACAGCAAGCACATGAGGGAGGGTAGAAATGTATAGAAAGGACTTCACTGAAGGTTAAGGTGATGAGCACAGACATGAAAGTCAACGGGACTACAGTGAAATATGTGAAAGGTTATTGCTGCAAGCCAAGCAGCAAGGCTTCATCAGTCAACAATGAGCTGAACAAAATAAGGTGAAGAATAACTGGTTTTCTAGTGACAAGACACTGCAGGAAAGGAGACACAGTGAATCCAAAGAGCTCCCTTTGCTCCTCCACAGCAGGAAAGGAGAATCCAGTTAGAAAGAACTACTTCAAGTCTGCCAAGAGTCTAAGCAGGTAAGTTTTAAATCAGCAGTCCCATTCGATTGCTGCTGCAGGATGGCACATGCACTCTCAC